AGCTCTCCTATTTTGAAACCATACTTCCACTTGTCTTGGGCGTAGGTTTAGGTGTCTGGCTAAGGTTTGCTTTTGTTTCTGATGAAAAGAATGAGAGAATATGAATAAAAAGATTTATAGAATTGATTTAGTAGTGGTATATAGAGAAACTTACGGGGTTGAGAGTGCTATTTTGTTTGAAACTCTCTTCCAATAGCGCGGATTGTTGTTTAGAAAGCCTAAGCTTCTTCCTAGTATTACAACCATCTTCATCTTCATCACTAACTCTACAACAAACCCTCTCCAATTCAACTTCTTCACTGCTGAGGTCTCTCTCCCTTTTAATCCCACCGCCACCACCCCCGGAGAAGGAAGAACAAACAGCGCTGCTATGAGGGGAAGCTTGGCGATACAAATGATGATGAGGATGATGATGATGAGGAGGAGGAGGAGGAGGAGGATCAACATCGCCCGAAAATCCCAAAGTCAAAGCACAAGGCTCAAAATCAAGTGAAGTGGGATGGTTGTTGTTGTTGTTGTTCTTGAAGTTGTTAATAATTGGAGAAGCAGCTTCTGAGATCCCCAACCCCAAAACCAAGCTTGTTTGAGAAACATCATCCAAACCCATCTGGAGTTGATTTGTGTGGAAAAAGATGGAAGTTGTGCAGAACAACAAGCCAAAATGAAGGGTTTAAGAAGAGGAAAAAGGAGAGAGATGGGTGTGTTTGTGTTTGTGTTTGTGTTTGTGTGGGTGGGTGGGAATGATTATTAATCCAGAAGAAATTAAAGAACTCAGAAGACAAAAGAATCTCAAAGTAAAAGAAAAAAAAAAGAAAAAGAGTTATGAAATTAAAAGTCCGTTCTATCTCTATACATAGGTTGACCTTTGAAGCCCCACTTAGTTATTATCTTCACATTATTGAGGCAAAGAAAAGAAAAGAAAAGCAAAGAAAAGCAAAGAAAAGAAAATCCCCACAACTTTCCCTTTCCTGGTAGAATCCCTGAGTTCACATGGCAGTGGGGAACACATCAAGAAAGGATCATTCTTTCTTTCTTTATTTCTTTTATTGTTTGTGCTACACATTATATTTAACAATTACTACCACTTTTGAGTGTTGCTTCATAAATGTTTCCTCGTCTTCTTATTCACTTTCTCTTTAAAATGGGTTCAATTATATGCCCCAACTTTTCCTCTTCTTTCACTTATGTCCCAATATTAGCATCCATTCATTATTATTCTCATTTATAATTCACCTTCTACTTTATTATTACTTTTATCAATCATTCAAGCATTGATTTAATTAAACTCTCTTCCCTCTCCCCCAACGATAAATGACCACATGAACTGTCTCCCACTCCATACTCTTCCAACCCCATATGGTCGTGCAAACCATTCCCCTTTGCTTTGCTGCCCAAATCAAACACTGTTGCACCTATTTTCTTATGCGTTGCTTCGTTTGATGTTTGATTTTGGTGGGAAAATGGAAAAGAAGGGAAAGTAGAAACAGAGAGATGAGATTATGACACGAAGCACATCAGAGCTTTAATTCAAAAGATGAATAATTGATGAAAGAATGTGGAAGTTTGCCTCGACAGAAATTTTGGGTTGGGGGGCCATCCCATTGGGGAGTATTAGTGTTTATAATGCATGAAAAATAGGCAACTTTCAGCCAATGCTTTGTCGGCTACAAATAATGATGATGATGATATGACTTATCAGAAACTTAGGTCGCCCATAAAACACATTCACCTACAAATTATTCAAAACACTTCTAAATTATGTGTTTTGTTTTAACATTACCCTTGTTCTTTTAAAACCATTTGGAGGGAGACATTCTTTTTGAAAAAAAAGAAATCAATTTTTTTGAATGGTATCTCTAAAGTCTCAAAAGTTTCCAAAATACCTCTCGTTGTTTAGGAGCCACATGGTCATAGAGATGATCATCTCGGAGCATTTGTTTGACATTTGGGAAAAAATTCAAAGACCGAATAGGGCTACCATACTAAACATGAAGGGAGTTAGACTAGCAATTAAAAGAAAAATAAACTTAAGTAGAATGCTCAAGTTCTCTGGTCGACTTCATATGAGGCTAACACTTAGCATCCCTCTGTCCGTATCATCCTAGTCTAGCTCAAATTTGATCCTCATTTTATCCTAACCTTAAAAAGGTATATAAACACTCTTCTTCCCTACTCAAGCACTACAACTTATATGGTAACCACCACCCTAATATGCGAATTTCTCTTGTTTCGTAGACTATTCTTCTTCCTCAAATAAATTTTATCGTTGTTGTCACGTAAAGGTCAAATGTGTTACTCTATCCAAATGGGTTAGAAATGGTTTTACCAAAATGAATTTAATCACACACTTGAGTATTTTTTTTTGGTTGGGTTTTTATTAGGATTATTTTAGGGTAAGTTAGATGTCATAATACACACGTACTCATCCATTGTACACATGTCACAATTAATTATATAAAAAGGAACAGAGCAAAAGGAATAGAAATAGGGGGATTATATAATAACATACAATTTTTATTTTTTGGCAATGAGAATGACAAAAAGCAAGTATACAGGTGCCAACATTTGTGGACAAAAGCAATAATTATAATAATTATTGTTATTAAGGTGATAATAATAATAATAATAATGATGAAAGGCATCACTTTACACCGCTAAATTATGATTGCTGATTGAAAAAGAAATTAGAAGAAGAAAAGAAAATTGATTTGATTTTTCAACATTCCCCAAAAGGAATTTTAATTTAAAAAACTTATAAATTGAATAAAAATATATAAAGAATGTAGACTAATTGTAACCTCTAAAATAAAAAGAAAGGAAAAAAGAGACAAATATTGAAAAACTGGAAAGAGGGAGGAAGAAGGTGTGTGAAAGAGAGAGAGAGAAGGGGCCTACCAATGATTTGGCATGATGGGCATTTGATTCTATGGGGGCCATGAGGAGGAGGAGGAGGATGAAGAGAGGATTAAAGACATAGTTTTTAAAAAATATAATGTTGGTACAAAAGCGTAGGGCACGTGCCCTTTTGGAATAGGACATTGTCTCATTCTCCAGGTCTTAAATGGATTGCAAGCCCACACCCTCCCTACCTCTTTACCCCTATTGTTATTGTTATCTAATATCCTTAATTCCCGCCACCAAATCTAAGGATAAGGATATATCATCCTCTCATCGAGGGATGGTTCATTCACCTCTCCAATTAAAATGGTGTTAGAGCTAGACATGGGCAGTGTGTCACATTGGTTGGAGAGGAAAACAAAACATTTCTTATAAGGCTGTGGAGATCTCTCTCTAACAGATACATCTTGAAATCATGAGACCAACAACTATACGTAACAGACTAAAATGAAAAATATCTTCTGATATATATATATATATACACACATATAACCCAGGGGTTTTGAGAGGCTTAAAAGAAAAGTAAGACTATAATCCATAGGATTGGTGGATATAAAAATATAACCTTTCTTTCTTCCATCAATTATTGCTTCACTAAAATTCTGAGTATCTTCTAGTTGTTTTCTAAAGATAGAACACATAACAATCCCTTTGATATTAAAAGAAACAAAAAGAAACATTTTCTTTTGGCAAAGCACTAATAACGTCCCCAATTGATCATAAAATTCACAAGCAAATAAAAAAAAGAAACCAAATGAAAAGTGAAAATGGTGGAGAAATGCGATGGAAATGGCATTCATTGATAGAACCCACTGATGTGCAGTTGCTTTTGGTATAAGCACAAAACAAATAAATAAATAAAGGGCACTGAGTTTGCTTTTGGGTTCACAAATTGTTTGGAAATGGAAAGACGTAACAATTGCACTCAATTCCAGCTCGGAAAGTTACCAACTTGACACTTCAAAATATAAAACCAAAGCCCTGACTCGGACACCAAAACACAACTTCCATTGCAGCCTTAATTATAACAACACAACCTCATCACACCCTTTGTTTAATGTCGGCATTACATCTGCAACTAATCTTTCTTTTTTGTCTTTCTTTTGCTTATCCTCTCATTATTACTCCTCCACTTTAGTGCTAAATTTTAGGAGTAAATTTAAATATGAGTTGCTTTTAATCTAGTCGGCGACTAGATAATGTTATTGGCTGAATAACTTTTGGAAAAGACCATATGCTAGTGACTTTCATCAAACTGCCATAAAGTTTTGCAACCAAAAGCAAAAGATTTCAATAATTTTAAATGTGTAAAGTTTTCATTACATCTTCTCTCCCAATGGAACGTGACTCACCTACTTGCTAAGGAAGTGAAATGGATAATAACTTTTTTACATCAGTGCACAGATTCTCCAACTATTTTGGTAACTTGGATAACAAAAAGGAAATTTTGAGCCAACTAAAGACAAAATGTGCTATAGAGCTCTATAATGCTAAAAACGTGTTTGTGCAGTTGTGTTGGTGTTATGAACGGAGGGTCGTCATGCTCAACTAACCTAACGTAGAGGCACATTTCACTTGTTTAGTTGATATAAGATTCTATTAGCAATTTCCAACCATTATTATAATGAATCACAGGAAAAGTCTAATTAATCTAACTAACCATATGTAACGGCTGAAGCCCACTGTTAGTAAATATTGTCCTCTTTGGACTTTTCCTTTTAGGCTTTAAAACGCAGTCTACTAAGGAAAAGTTTCTACACTCTTTTAAAAGATATTTCATTCTCCTCCCAACCAAGGTGGGATATCACACAATACCTCTATAAGAACTAAAGATTATGGTTGCCTTCTAAGTTTTTCTAGATTTGTCAACTCAAAAGGTTTATAAATTTTTGTTAAATTATGAAGCTCTAACTAAAATTTCAAGAGTCGATCTCATTCGACATCTCTCGAGCCCAAAGTTGCTATAAGTGGGATCGAAACCTTCTATACTACTTGGGCTTTCCATTCCAAATGCAAAGCTCAATCTAAAGGACCGCAGAAAAATTTGTGCAACCTGACAAAAACGGTGTCTAGCCTACAAAGTGAGCTTAAGGCATTGTAGAACAATGGCAATAAATAGGCATTCATTCCACAGCATAAAAGATTATAATCATACAGCAAGAAAATATTGCTTCAAGAATGATAGAACAAGGATTTGGTTGACCTTTTTCTTGGATTTGGGCTTGCATAATCATATTCATATCCTTGCACCAGGTGATGCATGTCGTCAATACGTTTGTAATCGATCTCTTTTAAGTTCGTCTCTGTGGTAAAGAGTGATTGGGATTAGTTTCAATTTGTAATACCCTGCAGGTGTACCAAAGGAATCTGTCAAAGATGGTGTCCAAGCAGTAGAAAGTTGGTAAAAGAAGAAACTGAAGAGTTTTATATATCTTCATGATTATATTGTACGTGTATGAGTTAGGCATAATACTGTGATCTTTTATATAAATCATAAATTTCAGGGCCTCCTCCAAGTTCCCTTCCTGCAGTACTGATCAACAATAAAAGTGCAAGTCATTGTATCAGGACATAAATGATTGTCTACCATTTCATCCTAGCATTATCCATATTACCAACGGAACAAAATCCTCTGATCTAGATGTCATAAACAATCAAGTCAGATTTGTAACCAAGTTTCTTAAGTTTACAAAAACATCTAGGGAGTCATCCATCAATGCACTCTTACAAAGACCATAAATCAGAGGAGATGGTCTTAATTGACAACGTTCCATTTCCTCGATCAGGTTGTATAACAGCACAAGCCCACCACTAGTAGATATTGTCCTCTTTGGACTTTCCTTTCCGGACTTCCCCTCAAAGTTTTTAAAATGCGTCTGGAGAGAAATTTTCACACCCTTATAAGGAATACTTCATTCCCCTCTCCATGGGATCACAGGTTGGGACTCTCTCAATTTCCCCTCTCTTGCAGAACCCATCAACCAAAATAGTATAACTACATGCATCTGGTAGTATTCAATAGCCTCTCATGTCCTGCAAAACCTCCTCTATATTACCCTCTAGACAAAATTCATAAAGAATTGGATTGTAACAATAAGCATTAAGAGGTCGGTTTTTGGGTCTCAGCATTTGAGTGAAGTCTAAAGCAGACTCAACAGAACCAACTTTACAAAGTTCGCAGGTGTAAATGTTGTATGTTACAACAGTGGGTATCTCACCGCTGCTCATTAATTCCTTTAAGAACAAGAGTGATTGTTCAATGCTGACATCGTGCCTACTTAGTCCTTGGCAAACGAAGTTCATCTTAATTGTGTAGGAATACACATTACGATTTGGGCCAGAAATCTTCAAATCCTCAAACAAACTTCTTACAAAATCTTCTCTGTTTGCTTCCGCCAAGCACTTGAACAAAAAATTGGCTTAATTCTTTCAAAATTGACTATTTGTCCCTCGGTTAAAGGTGTTCCAGAAATGTCTGCGATCGAGTAAATAGCTCAACAAACGAATGGATCGGATCGAGATACCCATTTTCTTGGCTTGAATAAACACATACACAGCATTCTCAAGCATTAAATTGCCAATGAACACCCTTATAAACATGTCAAACACAATCCTTGACTTCTCCACATCATCATTTGAGTCAATAAGAAATGGGAACAATGCAAATAAATCTTGCCCAGCCTCTCTAGTGTAGCAAACAATATCTCTAACAACAGAGTAAACTTCCATCCGCATTCCTACCAAAGCAAATACACGAACCATAGATCTAAATGTATTTAGAGAGTCAAAATACCTAACATTTGAACAGTTTCTTGCGACGTTAATTTCAGGAAAAACTTCAATTTGAGCTACTGGACTTCCATCAGACACATGGTTTTCCACCAACAACACCGATAAGGAAGTATAGCACACTATTATCGAAAAGCTATGGTAGTGAACAACTTGAATGTGGAGCAAAAGCAACTCAGATGAAACATATTTTTACTTTTAGAGGCTAATTTCTAGCGGTCTAAAAACTAAGCGATAAGACAAGCTGGGTAATTCGAAGTTAAAGAGGTTTCTACTTCACCTTAACTGGGAAGTGAAAGACTTGGGCATTGCAGGAGTCAAGGGATTGTGTACATCAAAGGCCTCAATCTCCTGAAGTCGGCTTTCAGAGAGGTCAAGTCTCCGAAGCCGGTGAGCTGCCTCGGGTCGGAGATGTATTTCGCCCAGTCGCTGAATAAACGTCGTCAAAGGAGCACTGTTTCGCGGGCCGGATGTTCGCTTAAGTGTAAAAAGATTAGAGGGGTATTTTAGTCCTTTCCGAATTCTTTTTTTAGCCATTTTATCATGGCTTATATGACTTATTTGTTATGTCGTCTTAGTTCATTTATGTACCTACTTTTACTAGTGTCGCACAAAATCTAAACTTTCTTTGAATATTATAATATTTTACTTATCGATCGACTTGTATGTTGAAAAGTAAGAATGATGTTAGAATTGATAGTTATTTGAATATGTTTTTGGAGCGATAATCTATATATAGGAAGCACATCTTCCGTCCACTATCAAAAATATGAACATGAATTATATTATGAAAATGAAATATTCAATCGAACAAGAAACTAAGAACCCCAATTTCGGAATCGAAATCAAATGATTTAACTTCATGAAATGAAATACATACATAGAGAATAGTATATATTTTGGTGGAGCAGCCCTACATCAGGCTTCATCCAAACAACGACAAAATGTAATCACATTAATTCGCCTTTTTGGTTTTGCATGGCCAGCTTCACATCCTCATATGCAGCACACCAAAGTTTTAAACGTATATGAAATGCAGTAAATACATATGTAATTATATAGATATATATAAATTATTGATTCCACCGCAGATTAGAGATTGTCCGCAGTGCACTCCTTGGGGGTTTGAGGGTAACGAGACTTGTCGGTGCAATAGTCATAGATCATATGGTTGGCTCGGACCCATTGGTAATTCTTGGCTTGTGCAGGGTTTAGTGTCCTGTAGGCTGGGCCTTCCCACCAGTTGTTGGGGTTCGAAGGGCAGTTTGCAGGGCCTGGGACAGGGCATCCCTCGATGTCAAAGTCTTTGTAATAAGCATAGAATGGGGCTTTCTTCCAATCAATCTTCTCCAAACCTCCTCTTGTCGCCCAGTCATCAGCTTCCCATAGCGTCGAATACACTCCCATTGGCTGTTGCTTTGGGTATGGAATTCCTTTGGCTTCGTTGTTCTTGTATACCCTAATGGGGATCTCATCCACAGCAAATCTGTATACAGTGTAAATGGGTATTACATGCATTATCTTCATAAAATCCATTTCATCCATACATTATGCTAACTTACATGATTAGCGAATGAGACCATGAGATTGAATAAGTATGGAAATCAGCTGAAGGGTCGAACCAAAGATTCACTCTTTGCTCTCTATCACCCTTTCCATGAGCATAGATGTTTGTTTGAACCGTGTATGGCTGCCCACTCCTATTTCCCAAGAACTCAAAGTCTAATTCGTCACGTATTGTATCTGTGTCTGAATTCATCTGTAGTGAAACATTATAATCGATTTGATTTCAAAGTTATGTTATATTAAAATTAAGCCACGTGAGGTTCGATTGTAACTTACGTAGAAGGCAGTCACTGTTCCAGCAGAGTCACCTGGGACGAGTTTAATCTTCATGCTAACTTTTCCAAACAAGTATTGACGTTTGGAAGCAAACCCACATCCTTAAAATCCATCAACATTCAGGTGAGATTTTGATTGAAACAAAAATTGAGATTTGGCATCATGGTAAAGGGACATGTATCCCACATATATTGATTGAAAAATAAGCAGTTTACCTGAATTTTGGTCGAGAACAAGTTGAATTCCTCTCCCACCATCGAGTTGCCTGACATGGTTATCCGCCCAGGTCACCCTAAAATCCTCAAGAAAAGTGGCGGGGCGTCCTGAGACAGCGATGGACAATGCAACAACACAGAGGCAAACAACACCAAGGGCATTGAAGCTTCTTCTCAAAGCCATGGCTAAGGATATAGTAATAAAAGAGAGAAGATTTGAGTGTGATATGGGAAAGAAGAAATGAGAGGGTTTTATAGATACGAAAAGGGATATGAATAGGTGAGTGAGATTAATGAGGAATTGAAATGGAAAATGGGCATCGCATCGCAGCCCACAGCTTTGGATACAGCTAATAATTTAGGGCCTACTTCAGAAGCTCTACTGTTTGAAGTGACGTTGTTGGGTGCTTCATCTTTCGTTTGGGTTTGGATACAGTTTCCATGTTTACTCGATCCACTTATAGGAATAGTCAATGAATGTAAGAAATGGAGGGGTTTGAATGCAAGTCTTGGCCGTCAAGAGTCGCTCAAATTGTGTTGCCTACCCACAAAGGTAATCTATCTAAGGAATTTTTCACTGTTCCAATCCATCCCTGTAACACTTTGTCTATTCACCAAAATTTATCTTAAAATAAGTATCCAAGGAATATCTTAAATGTTCTATTTTTAGTTTTTGTGGGTAGAATAGAATGTACTTCTTACTCCTTCAAATTGCTTTCCCTTCTTCCAAGTTTAAATCCCTTGATTGATTAAGATCCAAAAAGTTATAGTAATTATAGTTCATACTTTTCCGTTCATCCTCTATGACATAAACACATTACCCAACTCTCATTTATAAGAACCCTCATTTATAAGAGTGAAGATTACTCTCACAAACCAACACATTAAGAGAGAAGATGCATCTTATTGATATAGATAGAGACTTTTCAATTCTGTTAAATCTTTCTTAGTCATTATATCATTAAGATGTGGTCTCAGTTCTTTTATGTACCATCATTTACTCGACTATTCTAGTATGGTCTTATAAATGAATAAATGGGGAAGAAAGTTAAAATGAAAGAGGGAGACAAATGCAGACGTGTAAACAACCGAATTAAATGGAAAAATAGGGAGAGAAAAGGAACATAGAATTGGAGGAATGTGTAGTTGTGCTTCAGAAATAGCATGGCTGATAGATAAGCTTTCTTTTCCATTCACTGATAACACACCAAATAATTTAAAGGGATCAAAACCCATAGCCCTACATATCATCTTCTCTTCCTTGCCTTTCACATCCATACAACAATCCCACGTGGGTTCCCCACCCCTATAACTCTCCCCATTAAAACCAAACACAACCACCTCCCACCCCCTCTTTTTAGATTCAAACACCCATTCATATCCTCATTCCCTTTAAACTAACCCTAACAAAATTATAAATCTCATATACTTAATAAATAAACTAAACATTGGGTGGGGTTTATGACGAGAAAGAAATGAATTATTTGTAGGGCTTATTGCAAATTGCCTGTTGGGTTCATGCATTTCCACCAAAATTTGCATGAATGATGCGTATTTATGAAACGATGTAGCATTCTCTGGATTTGTTTATCGGTTTAAGCCAAATCCACCGGCTGGTCGCGGCGGAACCTGGCTGATGTTGACTCCGTACCACCTTTTCACTTTCTCTACCCATTTTACGTTATTTCAGTCCGAGCTAGCTAGATTGTATTTAAAAGGAAAAAAAAGAACCAATTTAATCAATTAGATGTCGAGTCTGTTAGGTTGAATGGCTCGATGACCTAACCTAGGGTCACGACCTCATGTATTTATAGATGTGTATAATGAAGATTACATTCTAAATCATAGATTTGTTAACAAACTATGAAATCATAAGTTTGGTAACAAAACTATGAAATCATAGATTTGATAACAAAACTATGAAATCATAGATTTGATAACAAAACTATGAAATGTAACAAACCAGTAAATCACTAGATTATCTTACTATACACAAATATGATCTACTCTACATTTAACAGAGTCATATCAACATCTTGCCTGAAAACTACTGAGAAAAGTGGAGAAAGAAGTTTGTATCTGACATTATTTTTCTAAAACAAAATCCAAACACTAATAATAATAGAAATTTATATGATTGAGTACTTTTTTTAATAATATAAGATCATTCCAAATAAGTACTTTTCATTTCTGAAATAAAATTAAATATTAAGAAAGAAATCTCACCCAAAAAGTGAACAATAAAAAAGGTCTTTTTCTTAATTTTGCATGGTTTAAAAAATATAACAAATAATATGGAACAATTATATGATAATTAGATATCTTTTTTCTTCAAAATTTTGGGTTCTGCTTAATATTATAAATATTTATTAGTTTTTTTTTTTAAATAATTTATAGAAAATTATAAATCAAGAACTACAATTTTTTTAAAAAAATAAAAACAAAAAACAAAATCGCTTCTCTCTTGCCTTTTTCTCCTCTTAAAGTTTTATATCTTCAATAATTTATACTACCATTCAAACATATGACAAAAAATAAAATCTTTATTTATTACATTAGCTCATCGTAATAAATTATAATTTCAAAATTAATAAATTGTGTAATTCCATTATTATGGAAAGTGACATGATAACCTCTCAATGAATTGACTTGACTAGAATATAGTTCAAAATAATTAACTCTTTTTCAATATAATTTTTGCTCAATTTTTTAGTATATTTTATATTTGTATTGAAAAAAATATATATATCAAACACCTTCATGAATAGAATATTTGAATTTATTTCTTTCATCTGAAATGCAATGCATGTTCTAAAAGAACATAATGGAGAGGGATGAACATGGTTTGTTTATGCTTGTGACATCGACTAACTATAATAGATCTAAACCTAATACCTAATGATGCTTAGTTACTATTAAGAGAGGAGGTCAGGACTATGTTATGATTACGATAGGACTCTAGAGGATTACCAATTACTTGTAATTATGATTAAGAGTCATTTACGCCTATTCCACCTATGCGTTCTGGTTTCTATAAGCACGAGGTCCCTCCCTCATATTAAAAATTATGTATGTGTGAAAATACATTAGTGCACTTAGAGTCATTTATGGTCCGCTTACATATGTATCTTAGCTGACAAGTATTGTATCGTCCTCCTATGTTGAGAATAGGGGCTATAGAGAATTAAGGACTACCTCCAACAATGAATGAGTCATTTATGGTAACACACGTAGAAGGTTTACACAACAGTAACGCGGATGGATTGAAACAGAAGAAACGTTTGGATGATACACATTCACTTTCTTTTGACTAACAATTGACCAAGGCCCTGCATCTCAATTCTAATTATATTGGCTCAAGTATTCATCACCTTCTAATTACTATTCCAATAACTAATTTTAGTTGGGGCAGCAGTACTAAACATTCCACGCATCGCAATTGTAAGCTTTTTGGATGTCTTTTGTGAAGAATTATTATTCTTGAAGAGAAAAAGGAATAGAACCCCATGTTCAAGATAAGGCCAAAGAATGCACGAAGAGAAATAAAATTTAAAAAAAAAAAAAAAAAGTTGTGTTGGTGAAGGTAGGGCCTCGTTACGGGTTGTGATTAGCTGTATGGAAAGCTAAGTTGTGAAGGTAGAGATTTCCCATTTCAATTTTTTATTAATCTCTGTGACCCACTTTCTTTTATTACCCCTCTATAAAGCCTCTCCTTTGTTCTATGAAATATCACATTCAAACTCATACCCATGGCTTTGAGAAGTTTCAATGCCATTGCTTTTGCTTGCGTGTGTTATGTTGCATTTTTCATCGTTGCTTCATGTCGGCCGGCCACTTTTCTTGAGGATTTTAGAGTGACCTGGGCGGATAATCATATCAGGCAACTCGATGGTGGGCGGGGAATTCAACTCGTTCTAGACCAAAATTCAGGTGAAATGCTCATATTTATATATTTAGCCACTTAAGTTGTATATGGAAAGCACACATTTTAAGGACATTAAGTTAATTTTAATACAATTCCAAATCGTTGAAAAAGAATTTTTTACATGAATAAGAAGCCTTTTAACTCTAAATTTATGATTTAGGATGTGGGTTTGCTTCAAAACGTCAATACTTATTTGGAAAAGTGAGTATGAAGATCAAACTCGTCCCAGGTGACTCTGCAGGAACAGTGACTGCATTTTACGTAAGTTACAATTAAACATAAGCTAACTTAATTTTTGGATAAAATAATTTTAAATTAAATTTCATCACAATGTTTCATGGTAGATGAACTCAGACACAGATACAATACGTGATGAATTAGACTTTGAGTTCTTGGGAAATAGAACTGGGCAGCCATACACAGTTCAAACAAACATCTACGCTCATGGAAAAGGTGATAGAGAGCAAAGAGTGAACCTATGGTTCGACCCTTCCGCTGATTTCCATACTTATTCAATCTCGTGGTCTCATACGCGAATAATGTAAGTTATGATTAAATATATTGATGATAAATATAGTAATTATTGCATATAATACTTATTTACATTGTATACAGATTTGCTGTGGATGAGATCCCCATAAGAGTGTACAAGAACAACGAAGCCAGAGGAATTCCATACCCAAAGCAACAGCCAATGGGAGTGTATTCGACGCTGTGGGAAGCCGATGACTGGGCGACAAGAGGTGGTTTGGAGAAGATTGATTGGAAGAAAGCTCCATTCTATGCTTATTACAAAGATTTTGACATCGAGGGATGCCCTGTGCCAGGCCCTGCAAACTGCCCTTCAAACCCCAACAATTGGTGGGAAGGCCCAGCATATCGATCACTCACGCCGACGCAAGCTAGAAATTACAGATGGGTTCGTATGAACCATATGATTTATGACTATTGCACCGACAAATCTCGCTACCCCATCACCCCGCCAGAGTGCATTGCTGGAATATGAAATGTTTAAAAAATGCAGAGATGGTCCATAGGAGATACCTAGAGAAAGTAATTATTATTGAACGGAAATTGTCATAGGAAACCCATATGCATAATTTGTCATTGTCATAACTTTTATCATCCTTGTGACCAATAAATATGGTTTATGATATGCTTTCAATAACAAACCAGTTTATTTATTTATGTACTTTTAAAATATATATTTTTAATTAAAACAATTTTATTGACAAATAAGGAATGAGGTTGCAAATACAAAATTTAAACAAACAACAAAACCCATGATACACAAACGGGCCGAAACTCCGAGATGACCTCTGGTACTGCATAACTTTCTAAGGCTCCCCACCTCGACTGGCAATCATCAATCCTGAACAAAAGAATGTGGAATGATGTTAGTATAACAATATTCGATAAGTAGCCTATTTGTAAATTCTCATCCTAGTAAAGCTATCATAGGTTTTTCTCTCACCTTTAGGAAGTTCAGGGCTAAGTTCGAGTATTAATACCCTTCAACTTTTTAAAAAAAAATTAAAAAAAATCTTAACACTAGTGTACGAGTTGAAACCATTTATCTATACTCTAACGATAATCTTAATTTTCAAGTTTTTAACATTAAAAATAAAATTTAAAATTTAAAAATATTTTTATTAATTTATCATAATAGTTGATAAAATTATAATTTTGAAACAAATGTAAAGTGTAAGGATAAAGAAGAAACTACCAACTCAACATATTTAATCTAGTAATTGACATGTACTCTTCCTCTAAATTCAATTTTTTTTTTTTTTTTTCAATTTGTGAGAAATTCCTTTATAGACCTCCTCTCTCGCACGTGCCGAGATCACACGTTTGGGGAAGTTTTGGTGAAAGGGCTCTCGATCGAAATTGCAAGGGTATGGTCATTTCAATTATAACTCGGGCATTGGCGATTTGTTAGAGAAAGAGCGAGTCAAAAGAGAATGGCAATGGCGACGATCCGATCCAATCTTCTTCGCGCTGCCATCCGCGGTGCCTCTCGGAACTCCGCTCAGCCTAAACGCGGCTTTGCTTCCTCTGCTCACGACGATGCTCGTAAGTCTCTCTCTCAGTATTTCTGGATATGTTTTTTTCTTTATTGACGGAATTTTTCTTCTTACTTTTGGCAACTTCGTTTAGCCTATTCATTTTCCTGGCCTATTTTTATGATGAAATTGGGGAAACTAGGATGATATTAATTGTTGAATCGTGTTCAGAAATTTGGACCAAGATAATTTGGTCGGGCGCTCTTTCTTCCTTTTAGATTGCAAGTCTTGCAAGGGGAGGTTTTTTTTTTCCCTTAAATTTTAAATTCAGATTTAAATGTTATTATTCAATAGTTTTGTTAAATCATAGTATGGGATGGGAGTGTATACATGACATATTTGACAATTAACTGTAGATAGGGTTTCCAGTCGCTAAGGAGTAGTTTTGAATTAAAGTTCGTGGTAAGGAAAAAGGCAAGAGGGGCAAAAGCTTCCTGTTCCATTACTGAGTGGCAACAATATCATTCTTGATTTCTGTAATTACAAAAAAATCCTTTCTAAAGTCTTATATGTGGCTTGTGGTAGGTTCAGTTTCCTTTTGATTTCACATAAATACGACATGAAGGAAAGGGAATATGCAGTAAGTTTATTAGACGGTTTAGGGCTTCAGTTAAAAAAAATTCTCCTCTGGGAAGTTTATACGCCTCTAATCCTACGCCTGCCTCTTATTTCTTTATTTCCCCCATTTTTTTCTTTCTTTCTTTTCCCCACATAATTCTGGGTTGCGAGTAAGGGGACGAATATTATTCTGTGTTTTGAGGTGATTTCAGTAAATTGTTGGAGCTAAACCAATCTGTGCTGTGAATTTATTTTATATTGATCCACCATAACATATACTTGATGGTGGCCTTTACTTAGTTGGGTACAAATTATGTATTATTATTTTTAAATACTATTTGAGACTTATAGTGTACAAGCAAGTGGGAGAGAAAAATTTTATGCAGGAGCGCAATGATGCTTGTACTGCCTATGCTTTATCTCTCATACAACCTTTCTTTCTTTATTTCAGTTGAAACGGCAAAATGGGAGAAGATTACTTATGCAGGCATTGCAGCCTGCACCACTTTAGCATTCTATAACCTATCAAAGGGCCACCCCCACCATGAAGAGCCCCCTGTGAGCTACAACTTTAGTCAATTTATAATTTTCCTACCACTTCTCAATATCGTAGTTGCATTATTCATTGTACTCTCATGTGTGGCCAATTCATTTTTGTCTGGGTTTTTATTGTATGCAGGCATACCCATATTTGCACATACGCAATAAAGAGTTCCCATGGGGTAAGTTTCCATTGCATTACAAGTTCTATGACATCTTTTATATCTCTTGGCAGTCGCAATTTGGGTTTTGATGAGGTAACTAGAACTGGATGCTGCAGTGATGTCATGTAGTATATATTTACTGGATGCCAAGCAAACTTACAGCTATCTTGTAACTAATATATTTACTGCTAACTTGGCAGCTAGCAACTAATATGCTCATAAATACCTCGTTCTGCTTGCTAACAGTTTTTAGTCCTATTATATAACCTTGTCCTTTCATTAACCCAACTCTCACTACTTTTAAATGCTCCATGGTCAATTTCTAATGGTAGTTCAACAGCTTCCTCTTTCTGTTGGTTGATCATCTCAAGGGTCTATGGATACTTCTGGGATAAACGTGTTTGTAAGCTGTTTCCAAGAAGTAAACATTTTAGACTAAAAGTTATATGTTTTTGTAACTGTTTTCGACAGTTGCTTCTCTCAGTATATTTTAGAAGAACTGCAGTTGAAATGTTAAAATCTTTACAAACGAAAAAGTCATAGCATCATCGTAGGTAAAAGAGCTGGAGATGATGTACCACGGCATTTATCAGAACTGGTTGAATTTGATCGATGATCTTATATTCGTTCATCTTTGCTCTCTGCTCGTTGCTCATTTTCTCCTTTTCTGTTTATTATTTATTGTGAAAATAATACTGTTTTGTTTTCAATCCCTTTTGCATCAGGTCCCGATGGTCTTTTTGAGGTGAAACATCACTGAGGACTATTTTGGTTCAAGGGGACATCGAGCATGGTAATTCTACTTCTCATTTGGTTCATATCAGAAAGACTTCGTTGGCCCGTTTGGTTGGATTTTTCTTTTTAATGTGCGTGGGCCATTTTGCATTTGTTAAATGCTAGCAGGGTCCTGTGTGAATGAATCATGGTTTAATTTCTTGTGTTGTCAAAACTATCCTTCCTGATTAATAAGCCAAACTTTCCACCATTCTAAGGCTCAGTTTGCAGTATGCTGTGTTTGGATTGAAATGTGAGTTTGCAAGTAATAATAGTATTTGAGGTGGTGATGTTTACTTGGTAAACTGAAGCAGTTGTTTGGTTTATCAACAAAGTTGGAACAGGAACTTCGATTTATAAATATTAACGATACATTTTTATTTAAATCATATTTTAATATTTAATAATTAAAAATATATTTTTATTTAAATCATATTTAAATAAAATATCTTAACGTGCATTTAACTCCAAATCAAATATATTTCTCATTATATGGGATAATAAATATATTAAATATTAATTTAAACCTTTCAAATTCTTTCAACTAAAACTTTTATGACTTTTATGCAATATGGAATAAATTGTGCCTATGAACGTTGTAAGTGAATAGATTATTAATGAGTTGATTTATCATCGAGTTATAAACTAAGCCTCTCTTGACATTTAAGAACTACTTATCTATTTTTTTATATGCAAATAAATAAATTTCACCTCATAAGATTACGTTGGATTTCCAACATCCAACGATAAACATTGACAAGCATTTATAACTCATTGAAGATTCAGTCACTTATGATCATTCTATAAAACATTAATCTTTTTAATTAATAGAGTTATAAAGAAAAATTAAAATTTTTGTATTAATCTTTTCAATTAATAGAGTTATAAAGAGAAATTAAAATTTTTGTACTTTAGTCTTATATAATCTTATTGTGAGATCCACGTCAGTTGAAAAGGAGAATGAAACATTTTTTATAAGTGTGGGGAAACCTCTCACTGGAAGACGCTAGGCCCCGAAGACATTCTTTATAAATACGTGGAAACCTCTCACTGGAAGATGCGTTCCTCCAGCAAGGACGCTAGGTCCCGAAGGGAGATTGATTGTGAAATCCCACATGGGTTGGGAGAGATAATAAGACATTGTTTATAAGTGTGTGAAAAAATGATCATCCTTATTTTAATAATTTATTAATAAATGAGAAAAAGATTCTATCACAATTCCCGACACATGGTTCTTACCTATCGGCATTTCTTGTAGCAATAAACTCTATTGAGTTGCAACTATAGTTGAATAACAGTTGCAAAATTTAGCGAAGTAGTTTAAATTAAAACAGTCGCAATAAAAGTAGGGAGCGTATTTTAGTATGACATGGAAACAGAAATTACAACAGTTAGATTACCAAAGAAGAGAAGTGACAAAATTTTGTATGTTTCAAGACAACAGAATCTTGTAACCGACCCTGATCCAACCATGTCAAGAAAAAATTACAGGTAATATAAAATAGAAATTAATAATTTCGTTTTGGATGTTCATAACGTTTTAGAGAAACCATATCCAATCATGTTGAATTCTTTGTAGGAAATCTTTTGAATGTATGTCGATAACAAGAGATATCAAAATTGAACAGAAGTTAAACTCACTCATTTCAATCTTTTCAAGAATGTCTTCATGAACGTGCAGTTATATCTTCTCCTCCATATTTTAGCTCAACATTAACTTATATCATACTCCGACAAACACTAAATAAGGATTCACAATTTCTAGATATCAAATATACGCAATTACAAACGTTGAAGCTACAATAAGACCTTATTTGTGGTTGAAGACGGATGTCTCACAATCATGTTATAGCCTCACAAACACACACAAAAATCCCATTTTGTCAAATTAGTGGTTTTTGCTTGTACGCTATTTAATTTGAGTCAACTCAACGAATACTATTTAATTTGAGTCAACTCAACGAGTATTAAGAACACTGCTCAAGATTCTCACAAGTTACATCCCATACATTTTTAGGTGGCCACGAGTAATGGACCACATGCAATACTCTCCATCTCAACTAAAGATAACGATAAAACAAAGTTAATTCTTACTATAATTAAAAATGATAGACGTTTAGATTTCTCATTTGTTATAATTTCTAATGTGTTCGTAATATTAGAAATTATAACTAATGAGATTAAATTCATTGAAGACGAAGAAAAAAAAAAACCCTACCGTTTTAGATTAGTTCATCTCATTCAAGTAAACGCTACTATGTATTAACACTAATTAATAAAGAACTAAAGGTTCATGACTTAGAAGGAGGGAGTTTGGTGTCTCTTATCATCTCAACTACTTTTCTCATGGAAGGTCTGTCAATGGGCAAAGCAGAGGTGCAAAGCACAGCCACATCCAAAATCTTAGCTATCTCCTCTACTTCACATGTTCTTGGATCCAACTTTTCATCAATTATCTCATCCAAGCTCAACCCTTTCTCCTCAACCTCTGATAAAGCAGCCTCCGTTACCCATTTGACGATATCTCTGTTCTCCCCAAAACTCGGGTCGTTTGGTCGCTTCCCGGTCACTAACTCCATCAAAACTACTCCAAAGCTATACACGTCACTCTTCTCTGTTACCTTCATAGTATATCCATATTCTGCAATGCAATTCAAAATATTAAGATTAATACGAGTTGTAGTATGATTAAAAACTTAAAAGGCTTTAGCTTTTAGATGTTGCATACCGGGAGCAATATAGCCGTAGGAGCCAGCGATGCGAGACATGACACCAGCATCGTTGCCCTCTGTCTGGCGTTCCAGCGTCTTTGCCAGCCCAAAATCAGCCACTCGAGGGCAAAATTCAGCGTCCAACAGAATGTTGTTGCTCTTCACGTCGCGATGGATTATTGGAGGGACGCAGTCATGGTGCAGATAAGCTAATCCCTGGGCCGCTCCCATGGCGATGTTCAATCTTTTCGACCAATCTGACAAAGCTTCGGATTTGTTCTCGTGTAGAACATCTCCTAAGCTTCCATTCTCCATGTACTCGTAAACAAGAATTCTACTTCCTTCGCCATTGCTGCAACTGAATATCAACTTCACAATATTGGCATGCCGGATCCGACCCAACGTCTCGACTTCCGATTGGAAAACCGATTCAATATCCGATTGGTTGTGGCCTCTCCACAGACTTTTGGCTGCTACGGTCTGACCTGTTTTCAGATTCACTTTGAATACTGTACCCGAACCGCCCGACCCGATTATATTCCCTTTGGTTAGATGAGGAATTACATCTTCTTCGTCGAACCCGGCCCTTTGGAACTTGGTCACCGTCCATGGAGATTTGGATTTGCCCAACAGATTCATCTTGAATTTGATTACCCAAATGAGAGACCCGATGAGAACGAAAGCTAGAACTGAGAGAATCACCACAACATAGAAGCTTGGGGGTTTGGGTTTCGAACACCGGTTTAGTGGCTTCAAATCCGAGCTACAGAGACCCGGATTGCCCAGTAAACTACCGACGAACTGTTCGTTGTCGAGGCCGGATGGAACTTTTCCGGTCAATTTGTTGTTCGATAAATTGAATTGGTCCGGTTTCAGCTTTGTCAATTCCTCCGGGATTTCGCCGGAGAGTAAATTTGCAGAGAGATCCAAGTACGTTAGAACCGGTAAATCGCCAAGCTGAGGCGGAATCTTGCCGGTAAATTGATTATGGGACAGATTCAGCTCGGTTAGTTCTTTCCAGAACTGAACCAACTTGGGAATTTCGCCGGCGAACTGGTTTTCTTGCATGTCGAGCTTTTGAAGTTTCTGCAACTCTGTTATACAGGAAGGAACTCCACCGGAGAATTTGTTCCTGCCGATGTCAAACCGAACTAGCTCTTTCAATTTGCAAATCTCTGCTGGCAACTGGCCGGAGAAGTTGTTACCGGAAATCAACAACACTTGGAGATCGCGAGCGTGGCTTATCGCCGGCGGAATGGAGCCCTGAAATTGATTATCCGACATTTGTATGCTATTAAGATTAGGGAGTTTCCAGAACGAGTCCGGTACCTCGCCGGAAAGTTGATTGTTCTCGATTCTGACATATTTAAGAGAATCACAAGCGCCGTACGATTCTGGGAAATTCCCAGAGAAGCTGTTGCTGAATAAAATAAATTTCTGAAGGCGGTTTCGTTGGCAGAGAAATTTCGGAATATTACCTTCGAAATTGTTGGAAGAGAAATCAACCTCAGCAAAGGGAGAGTTGAGACCCAAATTTTGAGGAAGTGTTCCAGAAAAGCTATTGTTGAACAGTTTCAAATCTTTAAGATGTGGGCTCGAAGCTAAACTCTCCGGAAACTCCCCTTCCAGGAAATTGTCATTGAGATGCAGAGTTTCTAGAGGGATCGCAGCAAATTTATCCGGTAACTTTCCGGTGAGACTATTCTGAGAGAGGTCGAGACATGACAGAGAAGTCCAATTACCGATACTCTCTGGAAATTCACCGGAGATTCGGTTATTGTAGAGTTGAATCCTCTCTATGCTCCTGAGTCCGCCGATTGAATCCGGGAGAGGGCCAGATATCGAATTGGCAGTTAAATCAAGATTGGTAAGCATAGCAAGTTTTCCGATGGAACCAGGAATGGGTCCGATGAGATTTGCTGTGCTTATAAACATATTTTCGAGTTTTGACAGGTTTCCGTACTCGGGCGGTAAGGGACTCGGTATGAAGGGATTATAAGCGATGGCCATTTCGGTTAGCTGAGTGAGATTTCCCAGAACAGAGGGGACAGGGCCGTCGAGCAAATTCATCGTCAAGCGAAGCACTCTGAGCGCCGGCAACTGGCCGAAACTGAGAGGAACATCGCCGGTGAAATTATTGGAGGAGAGATCGAGAATTTGCAGCTGTGTGAAAAGAGGGGAAAACTGGGGCAGCCTACCGACAAGTAGATTAGAGGAAAGATTGAGGAGTTGGAGGCGAGAACAGAGAGAGAAGGAAGGGGAGAGTAAAGTTCCATTGATGTTGGTGACTGTGATAGAAAGGTTTTGAAGGGTGGGAATCCGGCAGAAATCGTAGGGAAATCCGCCGGCGATGTTGGAAGTGGTCAAATTGATGGCAAGAACAGAAAAGTTAGTGGAATCGCAAGTGATGCCAGTCCAAGAACAGGGGGTGTGAGCTTGATTGGGAACCCAATCCTTCAAAGCTCCATCGGGATCGTCGAGATGGGTGTTCTTGACACTAATCAGAATATCGTAGTCGACGTTGGAGAAGAGACCCACAGCGAAGAAGTGGAAGAAGGAGAGAGTGAAAAGAAGAAAGAGAGAGGATGGTGGAAACTTCAAAAATGGCATTTTTAGAGAGAGAGAGAGGGCGGAGATTTTGGATTGGTAATGGATGATGAAACAGAGGTTTGGATTTATAAGTGGAGTGTGGAAATTGTGAGATACATACATGATGTGAACCAAGCAAGTCATTTTTTTATTTATTTTTTATTTCAAAAACAAATAAATAAATATTGTAGCATACGGGAAAGAGAAAAGAATCACTTTTTTTTTTTTTTTTTTTTTTTTTTTTTTTTTTTTTTTTTTTTTTTTTTTTTTTTTTTTTTTTTTTTTTTTTTTTTATTCATTAATGGGTGGGTAAATTAGATTTAATTGCATGAAACGTGATTCCCTTTTATTTTTGGGAAAAGTAAAAAATAATAATAATAAAAATGAAGGAGCTTGGTTGCTAAATTCCATTTTACAGCTAACATTATGGAATCATTTTGAATGCATAACAATTCTAATTTCGAAGGAATTTAAAATTAGTATTACAAAAATGTCGGAGTGTGGTTCTAGAAGGATACATTTGTCTCCAAAAATAAATAAATAATTAATTAATTCTGATTCCAAGCCAATCAAAATTTTAAATTATCCCAGGCTACATAAATTTAATAACGAATTTTTATTATCCTAAACCCAATTTTCCAATTCTAAAATCATTTCTATTTCTTGGTGCAATTTTATGTATGTCTTGTAAAACAGCTCGAAAATATTGGGATCACTAAATATTAAACTTAAATTTTAAATTTTTATTTATGTATTTAGAAAAAATTGGTTAAATATTAGAAAGGATTGAAAGCAGTGTGTGAGGTGTACATGTTGGGTGGAAGAAGATGGGTAAATGGATCGCTTATAACTTGAAATTGGGATAAAAGGATTCCTAATTCATTCCAAATGGTCGGTTACTGTCTCACTATTTATTCCACAATATATTCTTCCTTTTTATTTCTTTGTTTCATATTTTTAAAACAACTTCAAATTTCATCAATTCTCATATAAAACCTTAATATTACTATGCTTTTTATGGAATAATTAGAAAACACAAAACTACTTCATGCCAAATCAAATCAAGTTGACTTTTTATTCTCTACCTTTAAATCCCTTAGGTTACAAGTATTTATATTTTGAAAGTAATTTTTATTTCTTTAAAAAAATTATAATTTATTTTCACCGACAAACAAAGCATATGAATGATGATTCATTTCTCTAAAGTTTGAACTGAGTTGAAACCCAGCTCCGTGTTTGGCGTTGAAGAAGACAAATAAAGATGTGTCATACATTACGTTGTGTTTTCATGCTTTGGGGTTGAAGATGTTGAAACTAATAATAGCTAATAATAGAATTTGAATTAGTTACGGAACAGAAGGAGAATGTGAATTCAAATTCATCCACAAAAATCTCAACCAATTTCGAGAATTCTCCTATAAAAGGACCTCCCTCTCCATCACTCAAATCACTTATCCTCTCAATCTCAATTCAGTTTTCTGTTGTCACCAACAGAAGAGCATAGTCTGTCATATAAGCCTAAGTTTATAAAGCATATTTGAAGCATTCGGGTCCAAATATGCTGCTGCTACTGCACTCCACCATGTGTTAATGCTTTTGTACCCATTTGCCTTTCATGTTGACCCCATTCAAGTCTCTATGGAACATGACGTCATTATTATTTCTTATTAATGTAAAGTAATGGAGTTAATTATGTTGGAGACATCATATTATTATTGAATTTTGAATTCATTAGGGGTTGGATTTATTTGAAATAAGTGATTTTGCACTGACTGCTTTTTGAACGAACGAGTGCGTGTGTGTGTTTACACTGCCCGCTTTTACAATAAACTACTACTACGCCACTTTTTGTAGCATTCATTTATTTTATTTGGCCTAGGCTGACTGAATATCTTTTTTAGAATTTAATTTAGTTTAATTTTCTTATATTCCTTTTATCTTTGATCTAAAAATACATAAATTATAAGCCCACTACGCTTTCGCTGCCCCACTTTAATAATAAGAATATAGTTTTGTTTGAATACCATCTAATTTAAGTATTTATGAAAATATCAAAAAAGGATAAAATTGAGTCAAATTAGAATGACACGACTCAAGGGCACACATGAAATGTACCTCTTTAAAGGTCAGTGTTGCGTTCTAGGTGAAGCCATCTCATCAAAGTGGAGTGAATTCGTTCCGTGATTTTGTCCTTCTATGTTGGTCTATAACACAAGAAATTGATTATACTATGTTTTGAAACACATATTTAATTTAATATTGATATCCAAAAAACAATATCCACGACACAAACGAGTCGTAAGAGGGGGTTTGAATGGATGTAAAAGTAAAATTGTCTATGATGGGCAGTTGAAACTGGGTTTAATCTATGAAAACAAAATAGTGGATAAGTTTATTATGAGGAAGAGATTAAAAGATGGGGTTGGGTATTGGGACGTTGAATGGTAGGGGATTGAGACTGTTGAACTAATCCGTTTGTGTTGAATGGATGGGTGACCATATAATATACACACACGCCCAACCAACCAAACCAATAATTATTATTCAAACACAAAAAAAGAAGACAACAAACTAAGTCAACTTACTTTTTCCAATGCTCACTGCAAGCTGTGCCATTAAATTTAACCTACCATCTTCAATCATGCTCACTCCTACTTTACAATCAAAAACTAGAATCAAACTTTTATTTTATTTACTTACTACTTTTTCAAAATCAAAAATTAAAATTTGACTAAAAAAGTAACGCCGAGTAAAGAATAAGTGCTTGAATAAACTGAACGTGAAAGCGATTCTATAAATACAATGACTAAGAAAAATTTAGAATAATTAAAAGTTAATAAATATACTTCTTAACTATAATTGATTTTTCTTTGGCTTAAATTTTTAATTCATGCGCTCTCTGGTTTATTTTATTATTATCTAAAGTCTCAATCTATCACCAAATCATATTGAATTTTAGTGTAAGTTTCTTTTTATTAGGCAATTTAAATATTCTTCAACTAGTCGCAATCATTTTTTTTTTCTTTTTGAACGGTTTTGGTCATCTTAAGGTCATACAATATCTAATGAGACATATCGTCTAAGTGCTCTTGGATTTGATGCTTTATTTTTGAAAATGATTGATCCTCGAGATACACAACCTCCTTTTGATTTTTCGTTTAGGTTAAAATACTATGTTAGTGTCTCAACTTAGAGGTTTTTTCCACTTTAGTTCTTGTTAATGTATTTTTAATAAAATTTAAACGTTTTTTTATTCATCAAAATTGGTTAAAGTTGGGTTAAGGAGATCTTTGGAGCTCTTATAAAAGGTGGAGTTTTGGAGTATTTTGCTATTTCTTGAAGCATTTCTCAGGGTTTGAAGGTAAGTAGTCCCATGCTTTGAAGAATTAATAAACTAAGTTTAGAAGTTGAATTTATAGAATTATAAGTTTACATACATTTTTTGAAACATAGCTCCAATAATTATGTCACAATAATGCAATGAAAATAAGATTGATTTTGCAAACTTTAGGCGGTCAATGTTGAGGGCCATATGTTGTCCACTCTCTTCTGGTTGGAAGATTTTTGAACAACCAAACCTTTTTATCCACTACTACTATTCAATATTCAATTTTATTTTATTTTTCTTTTAATTAGTCAATAAACTTCAAATGCTCGTAAGATCTGGTGGTGCCGGTTGTTTGTTTCGTGAATCTGATTCTTCCATGCCCCCCGGCGGCGGTGGGGATGATGGCGGTGGCGTCAAAAGAGGGGCTTTGGGATATCTGTCAGGATTTGAACCACCTCCCTCATTGGCGGTGGCGTCAGAGAGATTATTATATGAAAAATCAACAGATGTTAGGCTCTGCATTGAGGATATTGAAGCAGGAACACTTCCAATTAAACGGTTTCTTGAGAGATTAAGATAGGTCAGTATCCTTGTTGTGGTGATTTCGTTCGGAATCTCACCGGTGAGCTCGTTTCGACTGGGATCAACGAAGGTTAAAATCTTACATTGGCCGATTTCCGGCGCTATTGGGCCGGAGAATTTGTTGTGGCCGAAATCGATCTTTGAGAGCTGCTGTAACCGCCCGATTTCAGGTGGGATTTGGCCGGAGAATTTATTTCCATCGAGGAGAAGCTTCTGGACGCCAGAGAAATTTCCGACTGTCGGAGGTAGTGACCCAGAGAGCTGGTTGTTTGAGAGACTAATTTGGCCGAGATTTACAGAGACGAAATCAGTGACTGGAAATTCTCCGGTTTGTCTGCAACTCAACTTGGGACAAATGTGGCAACCCGAAGAGACCCTTTGGGATTGAACCATTGAGAAAATTCTCCCCCATTCGAATACGGCTCAACGATTCGCATTTACCGAGAGATTCAGGGATTGGACCGAACAAGAAATTTTCGAGTGTGATCAGAGTTTGAAGTCGATTTCCACGACACATATGAGGAGGTAAAGTTCCAGTCAATTTGTTCGACGAAATGTCGAGAACGACAAGCTTCCCATTCTTCCCCAAACTAGAAGGAATGGAACCAGTGAAGTTATTTTTCCACAACTGCAAGACTTCCAGCTCCGGCAACTCACCGATGAACTGTGGAATAGCTCCATGAAGCTTATTTCTGAAAAGATGCAAAAGCGTCAAGTTCTTCAGTTGAGAGAATGAGTCCGGAAAATAACCGACAAGAATGTTGTTAGACAAATCCATGGATTTCAGCCCCTTCAAGCTCCCAAGCTCCGGAATTAAAGGCCCAGAAAAACCGTTCACCTGAAGAAACAGAGTATCCTGTCTCTGAAGTTTCCAAAGCTCGCGTGGAATCTCACCCGTCAACCCACAGTTCGCAGCATCCAATCGAACCAGTTCCGACAGTTTTCCGATCTCCGGCGGCAAACCGCCATCGTAGGTATTGTAATATCCCATGTAAAGTTCACGAAGCTTAGTCAGGTTACCAATCTCCGGTGGAATCATACCTTGAAGCTCATTTCCAGACACCGCCAAATACTCCAAGTACAGTGAGGAGTGGCAGCATCCCAAGTAGAGAGCGGCGAATGGGAATGATCGGAAACAGAGGTCTTGAGAGAGAGAAGAGCGCGATATTCAGGCAAGTGAGAGGGAGTGGAGAGATGGAGAAGGAGAAGAAGCTGCATTTCAATGGCGGTGTCAGTGTTAGTGAGGCATCGGAGTTGACAAAATGGGAGGGAGATTCAGAGCGAATGTTGGTTAGGAAATAGGGAGAGAGTAGAGAAGAGCAGAGTTGGGAACTGTTTGGTGATTTTATCATCATTTTTCTTCTTTTTATCGGAACGAAGAAAGAGTTTTAATAAAAGAAAAAAAAGGAAAAAAATGAAGAATTTAAGAGTTTATGAGCTGTTGGGCTTGGAGTGGTGGGCTGAGAGCTTATGGGTTGAAGACCTTGGAGTTGGGCTACTGGGGCGACTTGCTGTCATATCAAATTTCATTTTGATATGTTCTCAGAACAGAGACGAGAGAGAACACATATCAAATAACGTTTTGAGCTTATACCTTGACAATGAACTCCCGGAGGAGAGACATGTCTTCAACAATGAACGGCAGAGGATAAGATTCATTGAAAATGTAGGCCGTGGGAGAGAGAAGCACAAACCCAAATTTGTGAATGTGCATGAATAAAAAGGAATCCTAAGAGGAAACAGTCCAAAAGCAAAGGGATGATGGAGGGCAGTTACATGCATATGGGGTCGCCCGATTCTGACGCCATTTTACAGAGCGCCCTACTTCTAAACACTGCCCTTCACTCCAACTTGTGGGTTATTCCCTTTTTATCTCTTCACACACCACTCTCCTTTTTCCCTATACAACATTATTGGCTTTCACTGAACTAGATGGGTACATGAATAAAGTAAAAGTAAAAATGGGCGTTGGTTTTAGAAAAGCGCAGGGAAAGGACTGGCGCTACCCATAAAAAGACATGGAAGGATGGGGTTCTCTACCCCTGCCTCCCTCTCACATTATTTGGTTACAAAACAAAGTAGTTTCTAGTCTGTGTGTTTAATGGCGGATTCGGATCAAAGCCCGAGCCATTCGAATCCCTTCCACTCTTCTTCCTTCTTCGCTTCGCCCTCCTGTTTTGGCACGAGCAATCCAAAAACAACCCACTACTCTCGCCTCAACGCCTCTTCCGCAAAAACCAGAGTCAGATGGCGGCATCTTCTCAAAAGGTGGCTCAAGGGTCGCAGCAGAGGTTACGCCTACAAGTCTTTCACCTTCCAGTACGACGCCCTTAGCTACTCCTATAACTTCGACGACGGCTCTCACAGAGTTCAGACATGAAAGTTGTGTTTTTTCTTCCTTTCTGTTGGGGGGTTCTGTGTCTGTTTTTGGTCTGATTCAACAACGTTTGTATATATCGAATATGTATCGGGCAGATCTGAGTTGCGCATCTTTAATTATCCCTGTTTCCTTGGCTGCTCCTAATCAGTAATGTAATTGTGTTTTTAAAGTTTGGCTGCACAACGTAACTTGTCTTCTTCTAACGTCACAGCAAGATAGATACAAAATCTAGAGAACTATCCTTTTAATTTTCAACTCATTCACAATTGCTTATTAATATTAATAGTAAGGTAAGTCTTGAATTAAACTAAACTAGAGTTAGATCAAAATGTAAGTAAGCATCCAAGAGAGAAATGTCAATGAGCTAGTTCTTATAGGCCATCCTATGAACATCTTGTATTTATAATATATAGTATATACGAGAGAAAATATAAATATTTATTTTTTATTTTTGTGTCACATTCTATAATAATGTCATCCACTTAAATAATAGTATAAACAATAACAATCTAATGAAGATTAGAGACACATTCATAGTTCAACCAACACAAAAAATGGATAGAAAAGAGGGGTTTGCGTAAGGGACATGTGAGTTTATTGGCAGCAACATTTAAATAATCGGCATCTACTTTTCATGTTCTTTTGGTACCATTGGCCCTCTTCCTCCGGTTTAAATTCAACCCAAAACAGCATCCAAAAGGATATTCTTTCAAGCTTCAAATTTTTTTCTTTTTTTAAAATTTTGAGATCACATTTGACTTTTTTCAAGATTTAAACTATCATATTTCCCCTCTTCTACCTCTCCCTCACTGGTTTCCACGTCCCTCTCCTCCTCCAATCCCTTTTCATTCATATTTGCTTTTATTAATAAGAAAAATTAAGATTGGTTGTTTTAATTAATTTATTCCAGTAAAAACATGAAAATATCAGGTCAACCATCGCTACTCTTCCTCCTTAAATCTTTAAAATTGGCCGATTCTCTCTCCTTTTCTCTCCGGCGACCATGGCATCTCATCACCTCTTCTTCTTACTCTTCCTGTTTCTTTCTCCGGATCAATTTCATTCCATTTCTTTCAAAATCAAAGACTTCGATTCTCATTCCGACAACATGGTTTATCATGGAGATGCAGAGCCTCTAAATGGTTCCATTAGCTTCAATGGTCAGCTTGGTTGGGCCACTTACGCCCAAAGCCTGCGTCTTTGTGATCATTCCAAACGCCACCTCTCAAATTTCAAAACCCACTTCTCATTTCTCATACCAAACTATAATCACACCAACTCCACTGTTCATAGTAATGGATTAGCCTTTTTTCTTGCTCCTTCTGAATTCAACCCACCTCTTAATTCTTCTGGATCTTTTCTGGGTCTGTATAATTTCACGCGAAACGAGTCGTTTCATTCCCAAATTGTTCATGTGGAATTTGAATGGGATCCACCGTTTCAACACATGGGCATAAATAGAAACTCAATTGCTTCATCAATTTATTCGCCATGGAATTCAAGTGATTATCAGAAGAAGACACACGTGTGGATTTCTTACAATGCAACAGATAAGAATCTAAGTGTGTCATTGAATAATAATGCAACTCTTTCTCATCATATCGATTTGTTGAAGATTCTTCCAGAAAAGGTGACAATTGGGTTTTCAACTTCGGTTCAGAATCTGAGTATTGAGTTTTGGGAATTCAGTTCGAGTGATTTTGATGCAAATTATGAAGAGAAAGATGACAATTTGCGTCTGGAAGAAAGTGAAAAGGCCATAAACATGAAATTATTAGCGGTTCTAATAGCTTGGGTGGGTGTTTTTGTGATAGCGATTCTTGCAATTTTTGTAGTTTCCTTGGCAAGATCTGGGGCAGAGGAGGAGAAGAGAGATGAACAACAACATGCAGGGATGAAATTGGCTTCAATTTATTCTGATTTGAACAAAGAGGCTTCATCACCAAGGAGATTCTCTTACAGATATCTAGCTATGGCGACGGATAACTTTTCAATGAATGGAAAATTGGGACAAGGAGGATTTGGGACGGTGTTTAAAGGCCATTTACCTGGTGCTAATAAGACAGTTGCTGTGAAGAGGTCTTTTAATGGCTCAACGCAGGGGAAGAGAGAGTATGTGAGTGAAGTGAAGATTATTAGCCATATGAGGCACAACAATTTGGTGCAACTCATTGGATGGTGCCACGAGAGGGATATTAGCGAGTTTCTTCTCGTCTATGAGTTCATGCCCAATGGTAGCCTCGACTCTCATCTCTTTGGAAAAGGCCCTCCTCTGCCCTGGCCTTTGAGGTACGTTTACGTTTACTCACTAGCTACTGTTCTCAAATGTGTAAAAGCTTTGATCTCTCATCCATATTATCAACGTAGGTACAAGATATCCTTGGGGCTAGCGTCTGCATTGCTATATCTTCACGAAGAATGGGAGCATAGCGTCATCCACAGAGATATCAAGTCAAGCAACGTGCTATTAGACTTCAATTTCACACCAAAACTGGGTGACTTTGGATTAGCGAGATTAGCAAAGCATGAACTCAACTCGAAAACACCTGGGTTGGTGGGAACTTTCGGGTACATGGCTCCTGAGTACATAAGCAGCGGTCGGGCGAGCAAGGAGTCAGACACGTTCAGCTTTGGAGTGGTTTTACTTGAAATTGTGAGTGGGAGAAAGTGCTGTGATCATTCAGGGAAGGGGTTGATAGAGATGGTTTGGGATGCTTATGGGAGAGGAGAGGTTGTTGAAGCAATATTGGATGAAAAATTGCGAGAGGGGTTTGTGGAGGTAAAAGAAGTGGAGCGCTTGAGCGTGGTTGGGCTGTGGGCTGCTCATCCTGATGCGGCTCAAAGGCCATCCATAAAGCAAGTGATTCAAGTTCTTAGTTTTGAAGAGGCAATGCCTAATCTACCCAAACAAATGCCTCTTCCAACTTTTTGTCAGCCTTCCCTTCAGTTTTAAATTCCCCACACACACTTTATTTTGTACCTTTGGGAACGTAGAGACATTATTGTATATTTCTCAGCTTTCTACTTAAGATCTTATATTGTTTTTTTAATTAATGCGGTTAATTATTTTGAAAATTATTTGAGTGCAAGATCACACCTGAACCGAAAAAGAAAAAGAAACATTTCTTAAAAGGAACGATGGAAGCCCTCGAAGAAAAGTTCAAAGAGGACAATATCTACTAGCAGCAGACTTGAGTTGTTACAAATGCTATCAGAGTTAGCCACCGAACAAAACGAGGTACGGGTCGAAGTAGGGCTAGACCCTCTTCGTTGCAGACGCGTTTTAAAACCGTGAGACTAACGACGATATGTAATAGGCAAAAACAAACAATATCTAGTTACTAGCGGTGTGTCAGCGAAAATGCTGGATCTCCAAGAGGGGAAGAAACAAATCATTCTTTAGAAGAGTATTAAAATCTATCTCGGTGAGAAAGTAACTTCAAAGGAAAAATTCAATGTTTTAAAGTCTTGAAGGGAAGTTAAAGTACACAGCTGTGCAGTGGGTTGGGCGGTTACATTAAGGTTAATTAATATTTTAAAATTTTATACTTTATAACTATTTATAACTATTAGAGGATATTTGTGTAATTCCCTTATTAAGTATATCTGGTTAAATTTATTTATATGATTTAGTTGGTAAGTAGGAATTATTATTATTTAGATTTATTGTTAGTATTTATATTATCTATTATATTAGTCTTTCCATCTTATAAAAGAGACACGTAAGACGATGCCTCGTGTAAATTTTGAGAACAAAAGAAGCCGAGTTTAATTTGAAGAATGCAATGCTCCTGCATTTCCTTGCCCTCAAATTTGAAACTCGGACCTTCCATCTCCAAATTCAAGCTATCATCAAATCTTAAAGTGGAAGCCATTGATCTTGCTGCAAGAATTTCACTTCCTTCTCATGTGAAAGCCATCACCAGCACCTCCAACCCCTTCGTCAAGCATTGCGTTAAACTCCGCTTCAGTTCCTCTTATCGCCACTTCCATGGCTCCGTCCTCGTCGTCGGCGCTACCCCAATTAGGTCGCCTCTTAACGCTTCACTTTCTGCGTCTATCCATAATTTTGTTCTTGAATTGAAAAAACCAAATTCGTCTATGCAGGGTTTTGCCTTTCGAATTCTTTTTGTTGATACATTTCATCAAAAAGGAAACTCTAAATCCTTGAATATTTTTGCACATTTGTCGTATGGGTTAACCAATTCCCTTCCTTCGTTTATTGTTTTTCCCAAGTAAGGATGAAAGTTGTTCTGTGAGTTTCTCCTGAGATGTCGGTTTGATATGAGTAGTTTTATAATTGGCCCATTTTAGTTTCTGAAGAATTAAGTTCTTGGAATCAGGTCTAATGTAACAGCAAGCATGTGACTGAATGTTTTTGAAGCACCCTTAAGCTTCGTCCATAGTTTCATTTGCTTGTGACTGTTCTCTGATTGAGCTATAAAGGATAAATTGTTGGAGTTGTGTACAATATGTGCTTTCCAGTCATTTGAATTCAATCCTTATTAATGTTTTCCCATGAGAAATTTGCTAGCTCCCCCCACCCCCCGGATCTTGGGAATTCTACTTCTGTCTGTATTAGTTCATTTTTCTCAAGCGGTCATTCTTTGAGAGCAATATTTTGCTCGACTTGACGAGGTTTGTATGCACATACATCTAATCTTAGTGTTTTACAGAGAAATATGCAAGTTTCAAGAGTCTCTGCGTGGGATAAGTTGTACACTGGCGTGCCTACTTCTGCTAGATGAAGTCGAGGTTCCTGAAGAACTTGTCGATGTCTCTGTTCGTATCGTGCGGGTGAGCCCAACTGTGATGAAAAAGCTTTCTGGAATGCAATCGATAGAATCAATTGATGCAATTGCCCTCATGAGAATACCTGACAGTTTTTGTAGTTTAGATGGAAACTTAAAACAAGCACATTCTAAAACATGGTTTCCATCTCCACATCGAATACTAGTCCTCGATGGAATCCAGGTAACTATTTCATCTGGAATCGACCTAATCCTGTAATTTGGTGCATTTAGCTGTCCTGTCTCTAAGTTGTTTTAAAATAGTTATCATTTCCTGCATTTCATTCTATAGTTACTGCTGAGATAACTTGGTACTTTGTGTTAAGCTATCTCTCAAAGGCCACTTTTGGTATTTACCTGTGCACATTGACATGGCAATAGTTTCTCTGTAGCTATGGTCTTCTTAATCTATCTTTAAGGCTTTGAAAAGAACTTTTAATGCTTAGCATTTTATTTATAAAGTACTACAGATAATTTCATTGATTTAGTATCGATATGTGAACATGACATTTAAAGGTTCGTTTTCGCTTATTGCAGGACCCAGGCAATCTTGGTACATTAATCAGGTCTGCTTTGGCCTTCAAATGGGTAAGGTTATTGGTTTGAATAATCCTTCTTTGAGCCCAATTTTCAATGAATGCTGATGGACATACTCACCTTGATGGTTCAAAATTACCTGAAGGATTATACATGACATACCGTGTCTAAGACTGCAATTTTCTGAAGTATGATGAAGCATTTGGGTATGTCAAATAAGTTTTCTGATACATATTTGGGTATGTCAAACAGAATGGTGTGTTTCTGCTTCCTGGGTGTTGTGATCCATTCAACGAGAAGGCACTCCGAGCCTCACGAGGAGCATCTTTTCAGCTTCCAATAGTCTCTGGCACTTGGAATCATCTTGAGGCTCTAAAAACTGACTTCCAAATGAAAATGTTGGCTGGACATCCCGAAAGTAATGAACTGAAGCCTGTATCGGTCCTTTCACAACAGTTCGCGAATTCTTCAAAAGATATCTCATTGTGCTTGGTTTTGGGGAGTGAAGGGAGTGGTCTATCTGAGAAATCTTGGCAGGTATGTGAGCTTTTGAGCATTCCAATGGTGGGTGGTTTCGAGTCACTCAACGTCTCAGTTGCAGGAGGAATTTTCTTGTACATGCTGCAGGCTGAAAACGATAGACATATTTGATGTACGATTACCACAACTTGAATTCAAGTTTAATGAAACTTGATTTTAATTAATGTGACTTAGACTTTAATTGGAACGACATTCTTCACATAGTTTGATTGAGATACTTCGATTCATATTATTCATATTACTTAGCGTGGGATTTTTCATCTTTTTGTAAAAGATTGATCCCTCCATGGTAACAGATTGGTCGTTTACTTGGAACTTCTCCAACAAAAATTATATGAAGGTTCTCCCTATGCAACCCAACGGGAGCCAAAACCGCTCAGCATGCAACTCTCATGAGAGAGAAGCTTAAGCCTTCATGTGCTCTACTTAGATCAAGGGTACGCACAGTTGGAAATGCATCTTTTCATGAGGCCAATCTGAAAATTTAACTCGTGAGCTTGGGTGTCTTGACCTGAATTTTTAGGTTTCAAAAACTCGTACTTCTAAATAGAACAACTCCCTCTATGATTGCATAGCTCTTGAACGCACCTCCACCTTGACCGGCCGACTGTTAACACTGAGAAAAAAAAAGGAAAACAAGGATGAGTATAACTTGATTGACCGCCTGTTAACACTAGAAAAGAAAAGGAAAACAAGGATGAATATAAAAGTTATACTCAGTAACCACCTACTTGTAGATTCTCATCGCGTTCTAAGCATAATAGATTCCACGGGCTACTCATTGGCTCTAGGATATCTAGTTCTAGTTTTGTCCCCTTGGGGCTATTCTAGTCTACGTTCTTTTATTTTAAACTTGAGTTCTTTATGCTGAGCTTTGAATGACTAGTGACCCTCTCTGAGGCGCTACCTTATGCATGGCTCATATGAGACTATATAGTGTCTTACCTAGGGATGAGTTGACACCTCCCAGTTGGGGCCTCATCCAGCTAATGGGTTCGATGTGAGTCTCGTTTTCCATGCGAAAACAGCCAAATCAGTTGGGTTTTGATCAGAAACCTCTAGTCCCCACAAAGTTGTTGACAAGATATATATATGCCAAGATTCTATCTAAATTAGTACCCTATCATCCTTATTTATGTGTTATTAAATTGTTAGGATAATTGTATGCATGTGCTTCCACGCATGTTTGAGTATGATTGATATGTTGATATGACTATATTTATGTATTGTGAAACACCATGACGAACAATGTAAGATCAGCGTACCAGAACACTATGAATATGTATGTACGTCTCATAATGTTAATTATGGAAGCATGATTTTAAATATTTGGACCTCAGAAACATATTTTGTAGGGACGTATATCCATGATAAGCTCTCATGTACGGATGACATTCATCGTCATATGTTATTATCTCCTTTAAACCTTTAAATAAATAAATGAGTACTGTCACAAGAAAGTTCCGAATGAAGCTAATGACCATTCTTTTCCTTTTGCTTTGGTTGCCTAATCTTTTTTGTTTCGAGGAATTCTTAAAAGATAATTATATTAATAATCTCATTTTTAAAAATGAATCTTTAAAAGGATATTTATTGAAATAAAACTTTCATTATTTTTTATAAATTTAAAATTGTAGAGAGCATTATTAAATATATTTGTATTTCAAAATGATTGTCCGTCCTTGTTTTATTTCCTGATGATCAATTAATTTTCATCTATTAACTATATACTACTTACCATATAATTCTCTAGTAAAAGTCAATAAGATCCCATCATAAACTAATTTAATAAACAATATTAATTTGCTTTTCCTATATAGAAGTTAACGTGGTTACGTGTGATTATCGGTACAACAAGTTGGGCTGTCCATAGATGTGGATGGAGGCATATTAGAAATCACAAACCTCTGCAATCAAACTCGTGTGAACTTTACTCTTAATTTTTCAAAAGGCCTCGATTCTTTACATATAAATTCATAATATTTTTTTTAATTACTGTGTTTGTTTGGTCATCTTTTTAATTAAATCAAACAAGTTTCTTAATGACTTTAAAAAATGTATTTGATCCATTAATCAATATTTAAGGCGGAGTTGCCACCAACCACCTTTCAAGAAAAGGTCCATGGATATACAATAACATATATTGGGTGATGCATTTGAATCCTAAACTTCTATGGGCACAAAAGCGAATTCTTTTACAAGCCCACTTCTAATAGATATGGTCTATTTTAGCTTGTTACAAATTGGAGCTTCACGATTTTAAAACACGTCTACTATTGTGACATCCCGCATCAGTTGGAGAGGGTTATGAAACATTTTTTATAATAGTATGCAAAGTTCTTCATATTAAACGTATTTTATAAAATCGTGAAACTGACGACGATACGTCACAGATTGAGGCTCTAAAAACTCCTAGGAGCATCTTTTCAGCTTCCAATAGTTTCTGGCACTTGGAATCATCTTGAGGCTCTAAAAACTGACTTCCAAATGAAAATGTTGGCTAGAGGACATCCCGAAAGTAATGAACCGAAGCCTGTATCGCTATCGCAAGCATTTACAGTGGTATGATATTGTCCACTTTAAGCATAAGTTCTTGTGGCCTTGCTTTGGGTTTGTTCAAAATGCCTCATACGAATGGAGTAGTATTCCCTACTTATAAACCCATGATCTTGCACTAAATTAACTAACGTGGAACTCACTCCGAATAATAATCTAACAGTTTTAAAAGTTCCTTCAAAATCACAAATCATTTTGAAGTATTTACAAAGCGTAATGCTGGAGAGAAACTGGAGAGAAGTAAAGGAAAAGGAAACGGAAGTAGAGAAATGATTAGTGGTAATAACAAGTCTATCTCCAAAAAGTCTTATATGAATCACTCTTTGGATAAGTAAAACAAATAATTATATTAAAAAATGTTCCGGGTTTGAAAATTTCAAAATGTGTACTCTCCACCAAACGTCTATTGAAGCTTTCTCCCCTTTGTTTTTTTTAATAATTAAAATCAAAACACTAATTTCCCCTTAAATTATATATTTTTACCTATCATTAATCCTCTAATAAAATTCGATCATAAATTTATTTTTCCTATACGAGAAGTTAATTTGGTTGGGTCGGATCTTCGGGTGCAACAAGTTAGTGTTGTCAGCACATGCACACGGAAATATATTAGGAACCATAAAGCTCTGCCATGGCATGATAACAAAAAAAAGTATTTTATCCATTATTCAATATTTAAGGTGGAGTTGCTACAACCACCTTACAAGAAAAGGCCAATGCAGGGTGATGCATTTGAATTTTAAACTCCTATTTTGCACAAAAGCCCATTCTTTTACTACACCCATTCATTCACACACCAACAAAAAGTAACAATTCTAACGTTCCAAAGTTATGTCTGTGGGTGTTGAAGGGGCTGGGTATCCTCCATCTCCAATTGCGAGGGCTGCCAACTTGGTGCAAGGATAAGTCTCACCAACATCGAAGTTATTTGAACCAAGACTTTTACTTCCATTAAGTTCATGCACGAATATCCAGGATAATAAATAAAAAAAGGCCTTTGAGGTCCCTCAACCCAATGCCGTGCTTCCTTCCTTTTCCAAGTTGCCTCATCGATTGGCTCCTCAAGTTTAGCCTATGAGGACATTTTAAGAGTTTATTATTGAAGTGGTTACTTATTCGGATTAAAAAAAATACAACTTGAATGGATGGTGTTGGACCAATTAACCTTTGAATTATTTTATTTTATGACTAAATCAAAATTTAACATCTTTTGCAATAATTTTGTAATAAGATGTTCAAACTCTCATGTGTCTGGAGAAGCAAGAGAAGAGTTGAAGTCAATGTTCCAAATGTTTTATATTTGAACTACAACACAATCCTCTTCTTTCTTATATTCTTGCATTCCCAAAGTCACCATTTTGTTAACCCACTTTCCCCATAATCCCTTCTTCTCTCTATCTCCCTCTCTCAAGCATGGCCATTTCCAATCTTGGAGTTCAAACAAACCACCATTTTCATGCACTTCAAGTCTTCATCTTCTCTTTCATTCTCTTCAAGGTTCATTCACTTTCCTTCAACTTCCCCAACTTTCAACCAAACAATCTCGACATATTCTTCGAAGGTGATAGCTCCACCAGCAATGATGTTATTCAACTTACAAAGAACCGAGCCGACGCCTCCCTCACCGAGAGTGCCGGCCGAGCTTCCTACGCCAAGCCGATACGCCTATGGGACGCCTCCACAGGACAGGTAATGTAGGATGTATAGCATGTCATAGTTCGTGTTTATTTAGTTCATTTAGTTTCATGAACTTGTTAATTAGTGCTTTTAGAATTCTAGTATAAATAGTTTCTTTGATTTATTCCATCATGGATTTGGCTTAATCAGAAATCCGGTGCATCCGCAGGTTGCGGACTTCACCACCCACTTCTCCTTTAGAATCAACACACTTAACCAAACTGTATTTGGTGATGGCATAGCCTTCTTCATCGTCCCTTACAATTCCACAATCCCACCTAACTCAACAGGGGGTTTTCTTGGATTATTCAGCTCCGACTCTGCTTTTGATACCTCCAAGAATCAAGTTTTTGCTGTTGAATTTGACAGTAAGAAGGATGATTGGGACTCGAAGGAAGATCATATAGGAATCAATATCAATTCCATTAATTCTACTCGTCATCTTAATTGGAACTCCAGCATGAAGGATAACCGATTGGCCAATGCCTGGATAACATACAATTCCTCCACTAAAAATTTGTCTGTGTATCTAACTTATGATCACGATCCGATTTTTACTGGAAATTTTAGCATCTCAGCTTCTGTTGACTTGAAAAGTTTATTGCCTGAAAAGGTCAGAATTGGATTCTCCGCAGCTACGGGGGACTGGTATCAAATACATAACATGATTTCTTGGAACTTCAATTCAACCTTGGACGATAATACTGGAGGTGGAGGTGGAGGTGGAGATAAAAATAAAAATATTGGTTTGGCCATTGGCCTAGGTGTTGGGCTTGGTGTTTTGATATGTGGGTTGGGCTTGTTCGGCTTTGTTTGGCGGAGGAAACAATTGAGAAGCAGAATGGAAGATGTGGAAGATCTTATGGATGATGAGTTTGAAAGAGGAACTGGCCCAAAAAGGTTCACTTATAGGGAATTAACTCAAGCCACAAAGAATTTTGATGAGGTCGGCAAGCTTGGGGAAGGAGGGTTTGGAGGTGTTTACAAGGGTTTGTTAACCGAATCAGATACAGAAATCGCGGTAAAGAGGGTTTCCAGAGGATCAAGACAGGGGAAAAAAGAGTACGTCTCTGAAGTGAAGATTATAAGTCGTTTGAGGCATAGGAATCTTGTTCAGCTCCTCGGTTGGTGCCATGAACGAGGCGATTTCCTTTTGGTTTATGAGTTCATGCCCAATGGCAGCCTGGATACCCACCTCTTCAAAGGTAAAACCATGCTAACTTGGGAGGTTCGATACAAAATAGCTGTAGGTTTGGCTTCTTCTTTGCTATATCTTCACGAAGAATGGGAACAATGTGTGGTGCATAGAGATATCAAGTCCAGCAATGTAATGCTGGACTCGCATTTCAACGCCAAACTCGGGGATTTCGGGCTTGCAAGGTTTGTGGACCATGAGATGGGCTCACAAACTACTGTTCTGGCTGGCACCATGGGGTATCTAGCCCCAGAGTGTGTGACGGATGGCAAGGCCAGTAAAGAATCAGATGTTTACAGTTTTGGTGTGGTTGCTCTTGAGATTGCCTGTGGACGGCGGCCAGTAGAAGCAAGAGCCGAGCCTGATCAAGTGAGGCTTGTGGAGTGGGTGTGGGGGATGTATGGCAGAGGCCAAGTCCTAGAAGCTGCAGACAAGAGACTGGCAATGGACTTCGATGAGCAACAAATGGAGGGTTTGATGGTGGTGGGATTATGGTGCTGCCACCCTGACTTCAAGATGCGTCCCTCCATAAGACAGGTGATTAATGTTCTAAATGTTGAAGCTCCACTGCCCGCCCTGCCTTCAAAGTTACCCGTGCCGATGTACTTTGCACCGCCGTTGGATTTATGCAAGTTTACGTACACATCGACAGGCTCCACCGAGACGCCAGTGGATAGAAGTGAGTGTTCATGTAGTAATTGTTCGAATTACACCACAAAATCATCAGGATCAAGTATGTCGCTTTTGAAATCACAAAAATAGCAATAGTTTGCAGCCTACATAGCCTTATATAGTTGTTATTAAGATTTTTGGGTTTTGGCATTTCATGTAAAAGATGCTCCAAATGGTGTTTTGTAGTGTCCAATATTATCTCAATTATTGACTTGATTGAGCCCTTCAGGCAGTGGGATGAACAGAGAAAAGGTGTGGTAAGCCTATCTTATAAATTATTTTCGTCTTCAATTTTTGTGTCTGTTTGTTTGCTTTAATTCGTGACTCAACCCTTCTTCATTTTCTTTGAATAACTTCTTAATCCCACTCATAGAGTAACTCTTTCATTTTGAGCGTTAACTTCAACATACAAATAGTCAACTTCTTTAATTGTTTTCATATGGGAAAGAAATAATTTGAAAACAAAGTATTTAAATGTTGAAATTAAGGTATTTAAATAGTCAACTTCTTTAATTTTTTTTTTTTTTTTTGTTTGTTTGTTTGTTCACAGACCTAGAGTGGAAAAGAGTAAAATTTAAATGCATTAAAAGACCATTTAAAAATTCAATTACATATTAATATTAGTAGACCTTGAGGAAGAGGAGCCGCGATGGTTTTCCTCCCGGCACACGTTGTTGTGTGGTGTTTTGTTGGAGAGACATAATAATAAATAAATAAAAAAAAAAAAAAAGTGTAAAAAAACTTTAGTTCAATGCAAATTGTTTTAAAATTTTAATAATTTGAAGGTTTAAAATGATTGGGAGTTTAATTAGGAGTTAAAAAGAGTAGAAGGGTTCAGGGGGTGGTCTGGTCTCGGTACCAACAACAAGTAGCAGTGGCAATGGGAAGTAGCAAATTATTAGGCCTTTCCGCGTGTCATGCACCCGAAGGTTCTGCTCAGCGCCAATGTGCGGATTCCGAGGCTGAGCCCGCCTGCCTTTCAAATTCTCTCTCTCTGGATTTGTTGCTCCTTTTAGAATTTTGAGTTTCCGCCTAATTCTTTTTGTTCATTACGCCTCTCTGAATTGGTATTTTACCCAACACCTCAATTACTTATTTAATCAACTTTTTGTATGCTCAAATACCTGATGTATTTTTTAATGAGTGGGATGGACTTGACCAAATTAAATTCACTTCTAAATTATAAATTTCAAATTGAATTGTTAATATGCTTGAACCAACCATTTCAATAGCTTTAAAAAATGTCTTATTGGTCCTGTAAAAAATTTCAATTCTGAAGGTAAATAATCCTAAACTTTAAATTGGGTTGATAGTTGGTAGTTAGACGAGAACGGTTTTAAAAACTTGGTAGTTTTGAAATGAAAATTTTTGAAGTTAAAAGTTTCATTATTTAAACATATTACCTATTAAAATGGAGAGCAAATCTTAATTTAAGATTTAAAAATAAATAATTAATTATTTTACTAAAGGATGGTGTTTTATGATTGGGTTTGGATTGTTTTATAATTAATTATTCATATTGACTTTTTTTTTTAATTGGGTATAAAAAATGTACATATAAAATGGTCAAATTTTGGGTTTAATACCGTAACAATTAATGCATTGAATTTGCAACAATGAAAATTTCAAAACATAGGAAAAGACAACTTCATCTTCCATTTTCAAGAAATGGAAATCAATGTCTTCGTCAGCTGAGTCTTACCTTTAACCTTTTACTTCCTATATATATATACATATGTGTGTATGTACACCTTCACGTGACAGCTTCAACCCAGTTGTTAAGAGACCAAAAACAAAAATAAAACAAAAAAACCATTTTTTATATATTTGTATGGTATTAATTCAGTCCATTAAAAGGGAGAGTTAAAACGCTTTTACTCTAGCTAACTGCTTGCCATAACAGAGGTAATTAACTTCGTCTCTCAATTTCTATCATCCTTCATAAGAAGCCTTCGTGCCATGTTCTTGCTTCACCATTACTTTAATTAAATCCATTTTTTCTTCTTTTTTCTGCTCCTTTTCTAGTTTTATACTTTAATTTCAGGCTAATTTCTTTAAATGAAGCTATGGGGTTTGGCCCTTTGGTGCACAGCCATGGCTGCCGCTTTCTTCTTCTTCTTCTTTCCTCTCCACCCCAGTACCAATCGGATTCCGACCACCCCACTAAGGTAATTATTATATTCATCTACATTTTGTTTATTTTATAAAAAAAAAATACAATTTTTACCCATTCAACTTTGACCTGCTGGCCTCTGCTTCTTCTGCAAGATGAATGCATGCAGAGCCGAACCAGAGGTTGAAGACGACGGGAACAACCAATATAGTTTTTTTTTTAAAAAAAAAAAAGAAGAGAAAATTTAACTTCGTTAAATGTACAATAAATGTGGAATTATGTCGGGAGTCATATATTATTTTGTCACGTTTGTATAATTAATTTAATCTTCACCTATTTGATCTTACAAAGGAGAATGTTCGATTTATGGCCACAGGAATTTTATGCTGTTTTTTTTTTTTTTTTTTTTTTTTTTTTTTTCTAACCCCACATTGTCACGGGACAAAGTGCCTTTTCGGTCTTTGAAATATGTGGACCAATTAAAAACGGACAAGTGTCGGTGAGACGGTTTTACCTTTACTGTTCTTCAGAAAAGAAGATTTCAGTTTATTTGTTTGTTTGTTTATTTATTGACTTCCAGTATTTATTTGTTTCAACTTCTAAATAGATTCTCTAATTTATCTTTAATTTTAAAAAAAAAGATCAAATTTGAAAGTTTGATTAATATAATATATAGTAAATTAAATATTGGCCCTCTAGTAGTAGAAACTTAATGGGCATGAACATCAACAATTCTTCGGGGCAATTCAAAGTCAGACTACAAAGAAGTGGTGGAAATGTAAGTAATTATACTTTTCCCTTAAAACAATTAAATTTATTGGCTTCCAAAAGGCAACACCTTTGTCTTATTATTACTATAATTCAGGTCGTGATGGATAATGGTATTGTCCAAGTTACTCTGTCCACCCCAGATGGTGACGTGGTTGGATTGAGCTACAATGGAATCGATAACATTCTGGACACCAAAACCGAAGCGCCGAACAGAGGGTATGTAGAACCATATATATATATGGCTGAAACAGAATTGGTTTGGATTACTATTGAGGGCTAAGTGTTGTGTTCACAGCTACTGGGACGCCGTATGGAACAACCCAAACGAACACATTAACACTGACAGGTATAAACCAAAACCCATTCTCCCTTTTGGCTTCTAAATTCTAATCACCAGAAATATTGTTGTCCCCATTTAGATTACTAGGAACCACGTTTAAAGTGATAGTATCCAACGACGAGCAACTGGAAATCTCGTTTGTCAAAACATGGAGCGTTGCAGTTGGGAACAAGAACGCCCCTGTCAATGTAGACAAAAGGTGGGGAGTATTTTGTAACTTTCATAAACCAAGATGAGTGAAAAATGACGTCGTTTTTGCTTCCTTTTGGCTCTGCAGGTTCGTGTTGCTGAGAGGAAGCTCTGGGTTTTATACGTATGCCATATTCGAGAGGCTGACCGGGTGGCCGGAGATTGAAATGGATCAAGTTAGGATCGTTTTCAGACCTCAGAAAAAAATGTAGAACAATTTAAAAAAACCCCTTTCGGATTCTGTTCTTTTGCCTAAATTCTGAGTTTAGTTTTTGATATAAAATGGTTTGGGTGTTTAGGTTTGATTACATGGCTGTATCGGACAGTAGACAGAGAGTGATGCCGACAATGGACGACCGAGATAATGGTGATCCATTGGCGTACCCTGAGGCTGTTCTTTTGACCAATCCTGCCAATGAGAAACTCAGAGGAGAGGTATTTTTACCATTTATTTCTGAAAAAATTCATTTTATATCTACGCACACACATTTGAGGCTTTGAATTGGGTTCTTTGTTGGATTCAACACATCGGCTTTCATGATCAAAATCTGGGTTTGAAGTGACCCCATTGATGAGAAATTGAGAATGATGAGTGATGTGTGAGTGCAGGTAGATGACAAGTACATGTACTCAATAGAGGACAAGGATAACCTAGTTCACGGCTGGATCTCCAGAAATCCACCGACTGGATTCTGGATGATCACTCCTAGTGACGAGTTCCGCGTCGCCGGTCCGGTCAAGCAGGATCTGACCTCCCACGCCGGCCCCATCACTCTCTCCGTAAGTTCCCGTCTAACCCATTTCCATTTCCATCTAACAATACCTTCACTCTAATTTCTACCACACAGATGTTCGTTAGCACCCACTACGCTGGAACGGATGTGGGCATGAAATTTGCAAAAGGAGAGCCTTGGAAGAAGGTCTTCGGCCCTGTATTTGTCTATCTCAACTCTGCTTCCCCTAAGGAGGATTATCGTTCTCTATGGCAAGATGCCAAACAACAGGTCCCCCCTAATTCTCTCCTTCTCTCTATATCTCTTTTAATGCTGAATTTAGAGTAATTCATTCAACTGACATGCATCAAATTATCACAGTTGGCAACGGAAATCAGTAAGTGGCCCTATACGTTTCCTCAATCAGAAGACTTCCCTTCTTCTGCCCAAAGAGGGAGCGTCGCCGGCCGGTTACTAATCCGTGATGGGTATTCCTCTCTCTCGCTCTAAACAAATTTGAGTCTCCCTTCCCTTTGTGATTAAATTCAAAACATTGTGAATTGAATATGCGTATGCGTATTGTTTCCATCAGGTCTATTAGCGACAGACTTTTGCGTGCGAGTAATGCTTTCGTTGGATTGGCATTGCCTGGTCCTGTGGGATCCTGGCAAAGGGAAAGCAAGGTAATCCTTTTGTTAATTTCCATTCCCCAAAGAGTTCTCAAACGAAGACGTGCATGCTAAGATATTATACTTCCATTCTTGTAGGGCTATCAATTCTGGACTCAAGCTGACAGTCACGGCAGCTTCTTAATCAATAACGTCCGAGAAGGAGTTTATAATCTTTATGCTTTTGTTCCTGGCTTTATTGGAGACTACAAGTATGAGGGAAATATAACAATCAAGGCTGGTAAGTAATAAACAACTTTCTCTCCGTCACATTTCATAAAAAAAACCAAACCAAACCAACCTAAGCTCTTCGTTTTGTAGGGTCTAAAACTAAATTGGATGAGATGGTGTTTGATCCGCCGAGACAGGGCCCAACCATCTGGGAGATCGGCATTCCCGACCGCACAGCAGCGGAGTTTTATGTGCCCGACCCTTTTCCGACTCTCATGAATAAACTATACATTGACCATGATGACAAGTCGGTTTTAAAAATTCTGTTCCACCCATTCTGTTTTGTTTTGTTTGAATCAAAATTTAATGATGTTGAGAAGTTGGGTTTGATTAACAGGTTCAGACAATATGGGTTGTGGGAACGTTATGCGGCTATGTATCCAAATAATGATCTTGTGTTTACTGTTGGTGTGGATAATTATACCCAGGACTGGTTCTATGCTCATGTTACCAGGTACGTTTGGGGCTTTTCTTTTACATTTAGTTAGTGTTTTAGGGACTGATTTAAGAGGTGTTTCTTGTTCTTTTATGCAGGGATGTGGGGAATCAAACATACGAAGCAACCACATGGGAGATCAGATTTTCATTGCAATCTGTGAACCAAACGGCAAATTACACACTGCAAATTGCATTGGCATCTGCTGCTGATTGCGAATTACAGGTATTAGAGTGTGTGTGCGGAGTAGTGTTTTTGTCAAAGATTAAAGTAACACTCTGTTCTGTTGTGGATTTGAAGGTTCGGTTAAACGATAAAAAGTCGAGCCGACCCGGGTTTACGACAGGAAGGATCGGAAGGGACAACGCAATTGCAAGGCATGGGATTCATGGGCTTTACTGGTTATACTCGGTGCCTTTCCCTGGCACTCAATTTCTGAAAGGGAACAACTCCATGTATTTCACTCAGGCAAGAGGCCAAGGCCCTTTCCAAGGTCTCATGTACGACTACGTTCGACTCGAAGCTCCACCTCGAACATAATCCCCCCGTCTCACTCACACAGTGTTTTACAATTTTTTTTTTTTTTTTGTTTTTAAATTATAACTACATATTGCATCAAAGAAAAGTAATTCACTCAAAAACCACAGAAATTTAGCACACGCAAATATAGGATTTAGGTTAGTTGGTAAATGTGGCCCTTTAGATGGTTCAAAGAAATTGTATACTGCTCCATCAGAAGCTGTTTTGAGTTCTGGCAAGTAATGACAAGCAGTGATTATGGGAGTGTGATCTTTCTCTAATGTCAACTGTGATCAATTCAAACCTCCACATACCAATATTGACGTACACATTTTGTGGTAGAGTGTGTTCAGAAGCATTGAACGCCAGGTAATACCTTACTGAATATGCGAAGACATGGAGAATAGAGAAAGGTAGGTGGAGAAGAGTGGGATATGGAGGGAGGGAGGATGAAAAGAACCCGTGAGAAGTGTTGTAAGTCTGTTTCTGGGTTCCAGGGGTTAGGATAATGCATAGCCCTCACGGGAATCCACACACCCCTCTTTCACGTGTTTCTCTTTCTCTCTATTTCTTCATCTTCTTCCTATCTGCTGTCAATGCCTCACACTTTGCTGTTTTTAGTAACACTCTTTCTATTCTCACGCCATTCTACTTTCCTCCACCGCATGCACTCATCTTCTATCTGAAAAATAATAGCAGCATGAATAAGCAATATCATCCTTCATCCTAATCTAGTTTAGTTTGTTGGAGCTCATCTATTTCATTAAAAAAAATTTAGGGTTAAAGACAATCTAGCTAATTCTTTGCTATCTCGTGCCGATGATCAATGATAAGCTAATGATCATTGATAAACTAGTAAATCTTTAACTACACTACATAGTAACATGATCACATCATCACATATCATAATTCCCTGAAATATTATGCGGGCTTTAGTTTGACAACCTATGGTCAAGGATCCGCTAGTGAATCATATCCACCTAACTGCATAATCATATCACAGATTGTAAACCATAGACAAGGTATAGCAGATTGTATAACTAAATCACCTATCATGTTCAGTAAATCATTAAAATCGGGCATACGTGCATACTTCAATCGTGGATCATTTCAATAAATTCAATCTCATTTCATCCTCAAAATTAGATACTAACCTATATTCAACTTATTTTTATAATTAAAACGTAAAAATATTCTGGAATAACTACTTACAACCATCATTCTCTTAATGGGTTTCAATATGTCCAATTCAACCAACTACCACTCACGTAATCATGCTTCTCCTATAAGAAAAACCTAAACAGGGAATCCAGAAGGTTGAATTTGTAGTAAAATTGACCCATCTTCCAATCCAAATTCCTGAAAATGGATTCAAAAAATAGAAAAAATGAGCATATCAAGCAAAAAAGCGCAAACTAATTCAGCTGAATCCACAATTCAATAGCTAATGTGAAGGGAAGTGGAATGGGACATTTATCGACCAATATCCATTGCTAAACTAAGGGAATTGATTCGGAGATGATATTGATACAAAAACCCTAGAAGGACCCACCCACCCATGTTCGACGAGGATCTGTGCAAGCCTTTCGGTGGTTCTTCCCCAAATTAAATATCACAACAACCTTGCCCACTCTTTAACGAACCAAAGCCCTAAAAACAATAGTTTTGCAACACTTCACGAAACCTACTCCCTCTCTTCTTCTTCGCTATCTAATACACATCCATTTCACTCAATAAATTAAACCATAAAGCATAAAATAATAATAATAATAATCCCTAATCATTCTTGCTTCTAATACACTCAATGGGCTCTACAACAACACCGGCTGCCAATGATTAGGGATGTCTGGTCTAAAACTGGTTCCTTTATTTTTCCTTGGTCGGGTCCTTTTTAAGCTACATTTTCCATTTTATTTCAATGGGGCTTCTCTATTCTCTTAATTGAGGAAAATTTGATACTTATTAACGACTCAAACCGACCATTAAATTAGTGATTCAATCAAGTAAATAGCATCTCGAAACTTCAGATGAATAAATACTTCGTAAGATATGGTGGAGCATGTTATAAGAAATATTATGTGAAATATTTGGAATGGTATAAGTTAGTTTGACCAATAAAAAACATGTTGGTTCGATGGATGCTCGATATTGATGATAGGATTCATATCTGGATAGATTAAGGATTTGCTAACTAACTCCTCATTATGAACTTAACTTGATTGTTCATGGCCTCTATAACATTTTTAGCAGTGACTTGTACTTCCATGATTTTTACGTTATGGAGCCTAGTAGGGAGATGTCAACTAAAGTATGCCAGAGGAATTGAGAATAGTGTCCATAATGCTATGACGAGAACTATGGGTTGGAACTCATGATGGGGTGAGTGTCTATGGTATGTAGGTTGACGATGATGACAAAAAAGACCAGTAAACAACTAATCAAGATTCCTTGGATCCCAAAGATAGAACTTATGAGGGAGTAAGTTCAAAAGAGTCGAATCGTGAGAACCGATGGTCTACGTAGAGCTAAGAGAAGAGAACTTAATGGCTTTCGCACTATTAACCTAAGTTCAGCTTAGGTGAACCAAGTTAACCTAGAGGATAGCCAAGGAAGATCCTATGTCTCAGAAATGGGAATGCTAAGTACGAATAAGATATATGAACAATTGAACAAACTAAACGACATAAGACTTTAAACTAACTAAGAATCGAGTATTTTGATACCCATTTATGCTATTTCAATTTTTTCAGATGAAAGCTACAGGATGCAAATGAGAGGAGGGTGTACACAGATGGGTAGAGGTCAAGGTAGATGTACATCATTAATTTTCAAAGTCTATGTTTTTGCATGAACTAAGGGATGTTTGTAATTGTTTATGGTCTTGAAATGGCGTTTGGTTTTGAAAGGGGACAATACGCAAGAATGAAGAGAGAAAGGTAAGGTCTGTTGGGTGAGTGCCACTGATTCTGTGTGTATCGATTGGTGTGCTCTGAGCTACTTATTATTACGGATCAGCTCTCACGCTGCTCCCTCTCACACCACATATAAATCTTCAACTTTCTGTTTCGCTAAATCTATATCAATCCCAATCAATACCATTCATAGCCTTACGCTTATATGACAATGCCATGCATGGGCTGTGCTTCCACACTCTATTACTGCTTACCCTCACTTATGTAAATATGTACTTTGTACGGTGTTTTCATACACTGTTTCTGTCTACCCACACAACACACAACTCTCCAAATGGGCCTCTTCAATTTCAACCCATCATCAATTTTTCAACCCTAAACTTTTCTAGCGAGTTAAATTGACATCTCCAAGAAGAATCAAGATCAAACTTTCTCTCGATTTATCGATGAATAGATTAATTGTATATGAGGGTTTGTATTTGTATGTGTGTGTGAAACCAATATTTGATGAAAATCACAAGCACCCATCAACATCCATCATAATGTCAATCACTGCATGAAAACATTGAATTTAGTATATTTGCCTCTGGAAAAGGGAAACTGAAACACCCGAGAGAAGGACCATAAAAAACTCTTCTTTTTTTATATATTTAATTTAATGTGTGCCTCTGTTGCTTTTGCTTCTTCCTCCTTTCCCTTTTATTTCTCATATATTGACTTCATTTGCAGCATCCATCCCATTCAAGAACCAATGAGGCCCTCATCGCAAGAAGAAATCAGCCAAAACTCAGGCACAACAAGAACCAAATCATCGTCAAATACGAAACAACAGCAAACACAACAACAACAACCTCTGAAATGTCCTCGATGCGATTCCACCAACACCAAGTTTTGCTACTACAACAACTACTGCCTCACTCAACCTCGTCACTTTTGCAAGACCTGTCGTAGATATTGGACCAAAGGTGGCGCCTTGAGAAATGTCCCCATCGGTGGCGGCTGCCGGAAAACCAAAAAGCTCAAATCTTCTTCTTCCAATAATTCCAAACTCCCCTCCGGCGACACCCCTGCCTTCAGATTCTTTGCTGGAATCTCACCCTCCATTGATTTCCAATTGAATGGTAGTCTTGGAGTTGGACTTTCATCATCTTCACCACAATTATTCCCAACAACTCCCACCACAAATCATCCGTACATGGGCCTCAACTACGACACCAATTTCCCTCTAATTCACCACCACAATACCAGCTCAAATTTAAACCTCCAACCTCACTATAATACCAACACCACCCTTGCATCTTCAATTCAATCTTTGAGCTCTCTAAACCAAGACCTCCATTCTAAATTACAGCAACACCGGTTAGCTATGATATTTGGAGACCACGATCATGTGCAAAACAAGGATCAAAATCACAAATTGTTGCAACCCATTTTGTTTCACAATCTAGAGCCTCCAAAACAGGATAGTTGTTTCAATATCCATGATCCTAGAACACAATCTGCAACAGCTTCAACAACCGGGGAGGATGCTACTCCAACTGAATGGTTCTTCGGAAATAATTCTTATGATGATCGCCATAATCATCATCAAGTGAGTGCCACAAACAGTGCTGGTGGGAATGGGTGGAATCATACTAATAATAATAATGGAGTTCAAGCTTGGGAAGATTTGCACCATTTCACTGCCTTGCCCTGAAGCTGCTACAAATTGAAAAAAAAAGGTTGGAGTCTTATCCAAAAGATCATCATAGTGAATAAAATTGAATATTATGTTAGCTCATATTTTAATTCAGTTTAGATGTTTATTTAGTGTTATTGTAAGTTTGATCAAAGAGATGGCATTTACTATAAGTTAATTTCTTATTGGGTTTGAATTATTCCATTGAAATGCATAACATTTTGTTCTTTCCAAGCAATATATTCAGAAATTGAAGAGACCCATTTATAGGGATGAGAGATTCTGTTTGAAATAAAACAAAAACAACAAAAGGGCTAATGTTAGTTCTTATTTATATTCTCTGCCTGGTTTTTTTAAAGTAAATTGGTGATTTCAACAGTTGTTATCATGAAAAGTATATAAAAGAAAAAAAAAGGTTGAAGTCGATATAATTTAATTTTATTGGTTTATTCATTGGGATCCGAGGAAATAAGTTTTG